GGGTTTGGTTGAAGCCTTGTCGCAGATCCAAGGTGGTGAACACCACTGCTCCCACGAGCTTGTCAAATATGTCTTCCGGCGTGGGCATGGGGTACCTGTTGGCCTTGGTTATTTTGTTCAGGTCGCGATAATCCCCGGACATCCGCCTGGACAAGACCTCTCCCGCCGCATCCTTGCGCGCGGCGATTACCGTCGCTGCTGCATACTCGGATGTTGACCGCCGAATCAGTCATGCCTCGAACAGCTCCTTGCATTTCTCCTTGCAAAGTTCCTCGTCCGCTCTGGTCATCCTTCGCTTCCGCTGGAAGGTCGGTGTGTCTGAGATCAGGTCTATCTTCATCTCCCCGATCATACTCCTTCCCAGCTCCTTCAGCGTGTAAGCGAAGGCCTTCCTGTGCCTTTTCAGCATCTCTCTCATGCGTTCAGCTTGCTCTGCTGTCATCCCCACCCCGATTGTCCATGTTGCCTCCTCTTGCCCGGCTCCTGCGGCAGCTTGCTCTGCAGGGGCCCTCTGAGCTTGTGTCGCCTCATCCTTTTGCCCGGCTTCTGCGGCAGCTTGCTCTGCAGGTGCCTCCTGATCTGATGTCCCCTTTTCCTCTCGTCCGGCTCCTGCGGCCGCTTGCTCTGCAGGGGCCTCCCGAGCTGGTGCCTCCAGCACCATGTAAGACTTCGCACACCCCCGTTTTGCCATCCGGCTGTGCACTGCCTCCCGGTCCACCCCTGGGGGCCACCCTCCCTTCCGGATTGCCTCCTCGCTGTCCAGCAATGCCTCCAGCTTGCGTTTCTCTGCCTTGAGTTGCAGCTGGGCTTCGCTGTTCTCTGCATCTCCCTTCGCCCACCACTCCTTCTCTTCCACCCTGGTGTCCATGTCCCACAGCAGCAGTTGCACTTCTATGGTATGCAGCAACCATTCCATGGCTTGCACATCCATTCCTTGCCCCAAGGCTCGTTGTCGTTCCCATTCTCAGATTCCTGGCGCCGCCGTTGCCCCCGGCAGGAATCCCATAGCCAGCTCTCGCTCTAGCGCGGTTGGTTCTCCCCATTCCCTCGTCCTCAGGTCCTTCACCATTTCCGGCCCTGGCACGCCTGCTTTCATTTGGAACGCGTGCGACCCGTAGTGCGCCACCAGGGTTGGCTAGGCCTGCCTTGGCTCTCTTGGCTCGTTGCAGGGATACTGCGCGGGGTGATCCGGGTACAACACCGGCGCCTCGGTACGGTTGGGCTCCAGTATGTCCCTGACCAGCCGCCCTGCGGGTCTCTCCAGACGTGACAGCTCCAGCCTCAGTCGTTCTTCCGAGATGCCGTTCTGCCAGTATCGCCGATCGCGGTGTCCTCGAGATCCTGCCTGCGTAGCGTCGAGTGCGACTCCTGCCCCCAGCTCGGTAGTTACCCGTTCGTGGGCAGCTCGCACCTTCACCCGCGGGTCCGCCGCAAAATTCAGGTTTTCCAGGTCGTATAGGTACTCTCCATGCTTCTTGTATACCAATTTCATTATGCGGATCAGGTGCTCGAACAACGCGGTCCGTTCGTCATCCATGTCTTCTCCCAGGCCTGCCCATGATACTCCTTGGCACTCCCATCTGGCGATGAGCACGTCCACTCTTCCCCATTTAGCCACATGCGCTTCGGCGACTTCCTGCACGTCGTCCACTCTTCCCAGTTTCCCTCCATGGCGCCGTCCAGAATCTGCCCCGGATATGTCCACTTGAGCATCTCCACATGATGTCGTGTCATCTGGCGGACTCTGGGATTGGCCTCCACGTAGCTCCATTTCTCGATCCGCCACCGCCTTCAGCGCCGCGGCCAGGCCGGTGCCCAGCCCTCCGAACAGTTCCAGCATCCTGATCGGCTTCTGCAGGATGCGCTTGTCCAGTATCTCTCCTGGGATTATCGCTTTCCTTTCTGCCCAGACCTCCCGATGTCGTCGTACTTGCAGTTCTGCCTCTGCCTCATACCAGCTCATCTCCCCAAACTGATCCTCTAGATCCATCATGCGGGCCTGGTAGGCGGTCTTCGGTTCCTGGTAGACGAAGCGGACTGGCAGTGTCCCTCTCAGTCCCCTAGGGTCCCAGAATTGCGGGCGGTATACCACCTTCTCCTGCCACGTGCAGATGGTGGCGCCCACCGCGTATAACAGCCTCATGCCCACAAGCAGATCATAGTCTTCTGATTCTGTCACTCCACAGAGCAGCTTCACTCGGCACTCGTCCCTTTCCCCCGGCTTTAGCACTATCTCCACCCTGTTCCGCGTCCGTGGGAGCCACTTTGGTTCCCCACCTTCCGCCGTCATGACCGAGAATCCTCGCTCCAGTAGGCGCCCATCCTCGTGCAGCCTCATTTGCTCGGCGAGCCCCTTTCCGATGAGCACGTGATGCGCTCCTGTGTCAATAATAGCCAGGTCCACCGAGATGCCGCCCACTGCTATAGATCCCTTGGCCGCCGCCAGAACCGAGGACTGGCACACCATCCTCTCCTTGGGGTGACGGTACGGCGAATCCTCAAAGTCTGGATCTTCCGCGCACCTCTGCTCCTTCACCCATGGATTCTCAGGAAAGCCAGCTCGCAGAATCCCTTCGCCCCGTTGCCGCGCCGCCTCTCGCCGCATGCCATGCCTCGCCATCAGCTGGAAAGAGAATTGACTGTTGGCCTCCTCGTCCTCGTCCCCGCTGATGTAAAATGCCTCCGCTGGTTTCTCTTCCTCTCCCAGTTCCTCCAGCTGCGCCCGCAGCTTCCAACATCTCTTCCTCAAGCTCGCCCTTGGTCTTGCTCCTCCCCTTGGGTGGCTTCTTGGAGTAACAGTCCACTTCTCGGTGCCCTTTCTTTCCGCAATGCTTGCAGACCGGCGCACGCGGGCACTCCCGCCGGAGATGTCCCACCTCCTCGCAGGTGTCGCAGCGCGGCGCCTGATCGCAGTCCCGTTGAATATGCCCCGGTTGGCCGCACCGATGGCACTTGCGGCGTTCTCCGCCCACTGCTTCCTCCCGACGCGCTCGTTCTGGTGTCGTGTTAGCCACCCATACTCCTCGTCGCCTCTCGCCTCCCCTCGTCTCCGCTCGCTCCAGCTCGTACAGCTTCAGCCCCATCTCGTAGCGACACGCCACTTCGTACACCTGCTGAAGCGAGGCCTCCCGGCCCATCTCGAACACCTTACTGCGGAGTTCCTTCACCATGCTCTGGTCCAGGCCATTCAGGAATTTTCCTATCAGCCGGCGCTCATCGCTGCACTCCAGGTCCACTGCTAGCTCCCGAAGCCTCCCGTAATATCCCAGCAGCGACTCCTCCCCTTTCCGTTCGAAGAAAGCGAGCTCACGTATCTTCTCTGGCGTCTGCGCCGGGAACTGCCGCTTGAGATTCTCCAAGAATTCCTCGACGATTCCCCAGTCATCGCTCCCCATGTACCGGTACTTGACCAGCAGGTCCGGCTTGGTGATGCGGTAATAGGTCTCGGCTTCTCCTGCCAAAGTGTTGGAGAGCCCACGGAAGAACTCCTCTGCTTCCAGGCCGTCTCGGGTCCAGTGATGACGCACGTTGTTTATCTGCATGAGATAATTGCGCAAATCCGCTCCGACGCCCGTCTGCACTGTGAACCTCTCTGCACCTTAATCTCCGGCAAGTTCATGTAGCGCCAACGCTCGCTCGCTTGCGCCAGGGCTTCTCGCTTCGTAGCTCCGGTCGACCTTGCGGTCCACATGGTGACTCCTCGCACTTCATCCTCCTCCGTCCACCTTCGGCGCTCGACCGAGCCGGTTCGCTGCAGACGTCGGTTCTCCCCTTCGCCGAGAGCCTTTCGCGACTCATCGGATCTTGCGTCCAGGAGATCCCCCTGACTATGCCGGCGTGGCGGAGGGCGATACACTTCGATACGATCGGACTCCGTTCCAATCGAAACTCTCCCGGTCTCTGGCGCGCCTGGCGCTTCTCCCCGCGGTCCTTCCTGCGTTCCGCTCGCGTCCATGGCCACACTTCGGCAATGTTTCGCGAGATCCGGTCCCACCGCAGGCTACTTAACCGCACATGCTTGTTTCTATGTCGAAAAATCCACTGACCTAACGACCGGTTTCTCCCATTCGGGCTGGCTTTTGCTAGGGAAATAGCACAAACGCACTCTACTACACGAGAAAACATACAAACAAGCAAGGAGAGTAGAGCTAGCAAGCATCCTATGTACAGGGTAAATCTTGGCTAGCTACTGGCTTCTTGCTGCAGGCGAGGGGTCAGGCTGGAACCTGCACACACACGCCAACATCGCACGCACACAACAAGCAGACCATCCGACACGCAGGCATCTCAACCGTCAAACAACAGCCCACCTATTTACAAGGAAGATTCCCGCCGTCCACACTCCACCCTCACCGTGGCTCTCGCCAACCGCACCCCCACTCCCTGTTTCACGTGAAACCCTAGCTCTCCTGCCATCACTGTACTCGCGGCACGCTTGCATTCCGTGGTGCTCGCTTGATGTTGCTCCACCTGTCAACATGTCCTTGCACTCCAGCTGTCCTGTACACTTCCTTTGCACCTGCGCTAATTGCTGCACCGATAAGCTTCGAACCAGTACATTCATGTCGCTCGGAACAGAAACATATGTACTTTCTTGTTTCGTGCGACATCCAGCTCTTTTCATTTCAAATGTTTCTGCCTGCATCGGTCTTGGTCAGACGGTTGCTGTGTCGCTTCGACTCTTCTGACTCCTCGACTTCGTACTCGGTAGAGTCGGCTCCTGCAGCATACAGGAATGCCTTCTCATAAAACTTCGTATCGTAACACAATATAATTCAATAGTATATGCGATCTACCCTGAGCCGGATCCCGGCTAAGTTTCGCGTGGAATTGTAACACCGCCATACGAAGTTTTACTTCTACATTTTTTTTTTGTTTGACACATCTCTACATGCTGAGAACTATTGCATGTGAGGCAATGCATAGCATACACATATATACGTTTATACATGTTCATCCGTGTGATGGGGTATACAACATCGGTTGCAGTGGTCCGTGCGATGGGGTATATATGTGCAGTCGAAAATGCTATTGAAGGGGACAGATGTGGTATGGCTGGCGAAACCGGGCGATTGACGGCGGTTGACGAAACGTCGCGCAAGCGGCGACTCTTGCAGGCGAAGAGATTCGAAAAGATTCGTGAGTCCCTGAGCATCGACCAGGGTTTCCTTTGGACCTCACGTAACGCGAAAGAAACCCTGGATGCTTTGCGATGATCCAGGCGGAGCGATCGCGCATTCGCCCGTGTTTTTCCGACCTGGCGCGTATGAACTAGGTGATGGGGAGGGGAGTGTTCAGGCGGCCAGTCCGCCTATCCGTCGGTAGGGGGAGTGACATCGACTACGCTCCCACAGTCAAACCAAGAAGCACATCCTCTGAGCTGACACACAGCCTAGACTTGCTGTGGCTCTTCAAGCAACCAGCCTTCGAGCACTTCCGTTTAGTCCCGTTGCAAGTGATTATCTAGTCAGAATGGCTGCTGCATCGCCGATCGAACAGCTGTCAGACGATATTCTCTCCGCTATCCTCCATCGCGTCGGTCGATCCGACGGTCAGTTCCAGCACGCGCTCGTGTGCAAGAAATGGCATCGCATCGCCCGTAGCGTGCACGACCACGTCCACATTCGCGAAGAGCGTCGCATGCGTCCTCACGAGCTGCTCGCGCTCTTCTCGTCATTCCCAAGGCTTAGAAAGCTCGTCCTCGCCGTCGGCAGCATCACCTCCGTCCCTGACTCCCTCCTCTCGGGGATTGCCGACACGTGTCCAGATCTGACGGACCTCCACGTCGATTCGATGGAACGAGAGTGCCGGCAGGGGGGATTCACTGAGAACGCACTTTCGGATCTCCTGGAGAAGTGCGCGCGGCTGGTGGGACTTCGTCTTCATTGCCAGTCGAATCTGACCGCCATTCCCGCGTCAATCGGCGGCCTTGCGTCACTCAAGAGCCTACAAATCACCGACCGGGGCGAAATCGCTCGCCTTCCAGACGCGTTCACCTCGTTACAGGCACTCGCGCATCTCGTGATTGAAATGCGCGGCCTGGTTGAACTGCCTCAGGGCTTCGGCAATCTGAGGCGGCTCAAGACGCTCCGTCTGAACGACTGCATGCGTCTCAGTTCCATTCCCGATTCTGTCGGGCAGCTTACCGGCTTGATGCAACTTTCCATCAGCGAGTTCGAGAGGCTTCAGCTGCCCGAATCCATCTCCAATCTTTCATCACTACTGACCTTCGAAATTTCCAACTGCCATGACCTTTCACCGCTGCCTGAGGGGTTCGGGAACCTGCCGGCGCTTGAAACCCTACGTATGGAGTATGTGTGGGGGATCACGAATCTGCCCGCGAGTCTCGGGCAGCTGTCTTCGCTAACGGATCTTATCACCGTCCGCCTAACACTCCACCATCTGCCTGACGACCTCGCTCTTCTGCCACGCCTGCACACGCTCAAGCTAGACGTTGGAACTGCCGTGCACCTGCATCCCTCCGCATACCTTGCCACCACACTCAAAGACCTCACGATTGAAAACTCTGCAACTCTACCTTCTCTGCCCGAAGAATTCGGGCAGTTGACTGCCCTGGAAGCCCTGCGCCTGATTCACCTTTCCGAGCTCCACAGCCTGCCCGCATCGCTGGGCAGCTTGAGGAGCCTCAAGGAGCTGAAGATATCCCGCTGTCCGGCGCTGGCACAGCTTCCAGACGGCCTGAGCCTGCTGTCTGCTCTCGAGCTGCTGGACATCACTCACTGCCGCAAGCTGACAGCACTACCGCACGGCATGGGGGATGGCCTGCATCGCCTGCGTAGACTGATTCTGTTCGACTGCACAGCTCTCGCCCACCTCCCTCCATCCTTCTCCGGCCTCTCCTCTCTTGAAACCCTAGAAATCCATAATGCAACCAGCTTAGGCACGCTACCAGACGGGTTTTCCGACTTGACAAACCTTAAGGAGCTCTCTCTTCACTTCTTACCACACCTGCCCGCCCTGCCTGCCTCCCTCCCTGTCATCGGCCGTTCTCTCACCCGCCTCGAGCTGCTCGGTTGCACGCACATTACAGCGCTGCCAGAGGAAATCGGAAGGCTGGGAGCGCTTGAAACACTCGTGCTCATGAGTCTGCCCAACCTGAAGTCGCTCCCTCGCTCGCTGTGTCAGCTGCTGCATCTGAAAAAACTGCAATTGAAGTACTGCAGCGCGCTGCAGTCGCTGTTTGGGGAGGAAGACGAGGGAGGTGCATCACATGGCCGTGGGGTCGCAAGCACCCGCCTCGACGTACCTGGTCACTCGGGTAGCTGCAGTGCTGATGGCAGCAGCAGTGCTGATGGCAGCTGTTTGGGATCGGGGGAGAGTGGCACGGGTGTGTCGCTCCCATCCCTCAAGGATCTTCGAATATGGGACCTTCCAGTGCAGCTGCTCGCTCCATCACTGGGCTACTTCTCGTGCGTAACCAGCCTGGAAATGTCGCAAATGGATCCACTTCGCTGCCTTCCAGATTCCATCGCTCGCCTCTCTCGCTTGCAGTCACTCACGATCAACTATGACAAGAGCCAGCTTGCTCTGCCAGAGTCAATAGGGAAGCTGTCAGCGCTCACATCTCTCAAAATTGATGGACTTGCGAGCTTGACGGAGCTGCCTGAGTTGCTCGGGCAGCTGAAGAAGCTTCAGGTGTTTAGAATTGAGCAATGCTGGAGCCTAACCAGGCTTCCCAAGTCGTTCCCGGATCTCTGTAGTCTGGAGCAGTGTCAGTTGAAGGATGTTGGAATACCGTGCCTTCCAGATGACTTCTGGAAGCTCTCTGCTTTGAAACAACTTTCGCTCTCGTCACTGCCCAAACTCCGCAGCCTGCCGGAATCTTTTACCCAGCTGCCCGCGCTGGAGAAGTTGGAACTGTTCGAATGCAAGCTGCTGACTCAGTTACCCTCGGGCCTTGGGCAGATGCGGAAGCTGCAGGGATGCATCGTGACTAGCTTGCGGCGGCGGGAGCCACTCGTAAGGGTAGTGATTCACGCAGCGACGCTGGACGAGGGAGAGCGCGTGGTGGATGACTCGCAGGGCGGGGAGGAGGGAGAAGAAGATGACTCGCAGGGCGAGGATGACTCGCAGGGCGGGGAGGAGGAGGGAGAAGAGGAGGATGACTCGGAGGGAGAAGGGGAGGAGGAGGAGGAAGAGGATGATGATGGGAGCGAGGATGACTCGGAGGGCGAGGATGACTCGGAGGGCAAAGAGGGGGAGGGGGAGGAGGAGGAGGAGGAGGAGGAGGAAGAGGAAGAAGAAGAAGGGAAAGCTGGGACAGTGGAGGAGGATGAGGGGAGTGAAGTCGAAGGGAGTGAAAAGGAGGCAAGAGAGGGGAACGAAGGGGAGGGGAACGAAGGGGACGGGAATGAAGGGGAGGGGAACGAAAGGGAGGGGAGAGAAGGGGAGGGGAGCAAAAGAGAGGGGAATGTAGGGAATGGGGGCGAGAGGGAGGGGAGCAAAGGAGAGGGGAACGAAGGGGAGGGGACCAAAGGGGAAGGGAGTGAAGGGGAGGGGACCGAATGGGAGGGGAACGAAAGGGAGCGAAGCGAAGGGGTGGGGAGCGAAGGGGAGGGGAACGAAGGGGAGGGAAACGAAGGGGTGGGGAACGAAGAGGAGGGGAGCGAAGGGGAGGGGTATGAAGGGGAGGGGAGCGAAGGCAAGGGGAATGAAGGGGAGGGGAGAGAAGGTGAGGGGAACAAAGGGGAGCGAAGGGGAGGGGAACAAAGTAAAGGGGAGTGAAGGAGAGGGGAGTTTGGAACGGAGGTAGTGGTGTGAGCTGAAGACGAGGAGGACGAGCAATGCACGGATGGAGAGGTGAGAGGGGAATGGCAAGTTGATGGAAGAGGAAGATTTAGAGGAGGATTTAGGTGATGTCATGAGGGAGGGTGGAGGGGGGGTTCATCCGAGACAGAGCCATATAATTATATGCACTCCTTGGTGTCACAGTGGTCCATGTCGCCAACCCAAGCTGTACTCGTACCTTTGTTGGCTGAACGCCAGTTGAGCTGCATCAAAAGCATGTCATGTCAGCCTGAGTGTTTCATGTTGGTACTTTGTTGCCGGAACGCATGTTGGTGGTTGGGTTCTGTTTCTGTTTTTGGGTCATGCTAAGTTTGCACCGCCGAAGCCTGATTAAGTCTCTCCACCACTCTCCCTCCCCCCAATGTCCTCCTCCTAGGTGTCTTCAAGTGCGCCCTCTCCCACAACCACATGCCACCACCCAACTCTACCGGCCCTGCTGGCGACGTGCCAGGTGGTGTTGAGCTGGCGATCTCTCAACGCCAGGTTGCCAAGCGGTCTTGATGAGCTGGCATTTGACGCCAGCCACCTTCCTCATACTCACCTTCCTCATACTCACCTTCCTCATACTCACCTTCCTCATACTCACCTTCCTCAATGGTCAGTTCCGATACCCCTGCACACGCCAATCTTTCCTTGTGTTGTGTTTCAATGCACCCCTTCCTTGGAATCATACCCTATGTGTCCACGCCTCGAAAGTGGACTCATTCCCTGTCTGTCCCTTTGCAGCGAGTCCATCTCTCACTCCATCCATCGCGTTTGAGACGTTTCGAACCCCAAAACTGGATGTGTCCTCCGCTTGCCTTACCCGTTCCCCTCTCCTCCCCTCTGCTTGCCTTACCCGTTCCCCTCTCCTCCCCTCCGCTTGCCTTACCCGTTCCCCTCTCCTCCCCTCCGCTTGCCTTACCCGTTCCCCTCTCCTCCCCTCCGCTTGCCTTACCCGTTCCCCTCTCCTCCCCTCCGCAAGCCATTTTGCCAGTCTATCTGCAGCCAGCTGCCAGCCAGGCTCCTCTCTGCATCCACTGGCGCCCGTTCTTAAGTCCACTACAAAATTGCCCGTGCTTCCCTTCCCTTTCCCCCTCTCTCCCCCCACGCGCAGCGAGCCCGTCTGCAGCCAGTTGCCAGGCTCCTCCCTGCAGCCAGTTGCCAGGCTCCTCCCTGCAGCCAGTTGCCAGGCTCCTCCCTGCAGCCAGTTGCCAGGCTCCTCCCTGCAGCCAGTTGCGCCGATGCTGCGGCACTTCATGGTGAGCCCATGTGGCAAGAAAGAGTTGCTGGGTATACTGGGTTCGTGTTGATAAACGAGTTGGTGGTGAGAATGTTGCTTTCAACGTCGAGTCAGTTGTGGTCAAGAATCAAGAATCAGTCATACCATGAGAGTCAGCTGTACCGACGGTACGGTGCCATCACCTTACTCTCTTGCAGGCAATTGACATAGAGTTTTTTTTTTTTTTTTTTTTTCTTTTCTTTTCTTTTCTTTTCTTTCTGATTACAAACATACTCTGATCAATGACATTGCACACCTAAGCTCCTGTTCTTTTCCACTCTCTACCCCTCGTTTCTATCACCATTCCTAGATGGCTGCGTGTGCATCGCAGGCATTCCATGACAGTGTGGGAGCACTCACTAACAAGTCACGGCAGCTGCTGCGTCAAGTCATTGTCTCCTGTGCTTCACACAAGCAGGATTAGTTGCATGAAGTATGTAGTGGAACGTGCCAGTTTGACTTCTGGGCATGGCATGGCAGTGTGGGCATGGTAGTGTGGGCATTGCAGTGTGGGCATGGTAGTGTGGGCATGGCAGTGTGGGCATGGTAGTGTGGGCATGGTAGTATGGACGTGGCAGTGTGGGCGTGGGCAAGGCATGGCATGGGCGTGGCAGTGTGGATATGGCAGCAAGATGGCAACTTTACCAGTGAGGCACAGAGGACAAGCATACCGGTAATTGACTTCCATCCATTGCAACGACGCATCATTCTTGTATGACTCTCATGGGTGGGAGCAGAGTCATTATTAGCAAGCGCAGGTGGGCGGCGACAAAGATTGTAATGGTGGCAAAGATTGTGGTGTCGGCAGCAGCAGGACAGGGAAGGTGCAGGAGAGGGAAGCAACAGGGCAGGGTAGCAGCAGATTGGAAGCAGCAGTTCAGCTCAAGTCATCAATGCCGTAGCTCATTCCGCTTGTCTAGTAGCGTACTACTCTTCCCCCCCCCCCCCCCCCCCCCCCCCCCCCCCCCCCGCGCGTAGGACCCGCCAGTAAGAAAGTCCCACAGGACTCCCATTTTGAGGGTGACATTTATAAGACCGCCCTTTTTTGTATACCGCACTATTTTACTACGCTTCGCCGTGTTCGCGTGTCAGTCTCAAAATCTGACGCATCCGAGGAGCGAAGCATGTTGCTGAGGGCCTGCTGGAAAGTCAATTTCTTCCACAGTGTTGTAGCAAAGCTCAAACTCCAGTTCGTACAGCTCGTATGTGACACCTATGCGTGGGTGGGCCAAGCAGAACATTTGGGTGGGCTGACCAAGTAGAAGAGCATTTCAATGAACAAGGCACATGCGAACAAGTACATACAGTGGTGGTATAAAGAATGTACGGTTTTGCAGGGAGCTTCTCCTTAAACATGTGAAGGAGCTGGTGCAGGGCACCCCATAGGTTGACCGCATATTGCAGCATTACAACACGTCCCCTGTGCACGAGCCGATCAGTCCATCCCCCCTCCAACTGCTGGCCCTTCCACACGATCCCCTGCATTTGTGACCGTGAGTGACGGGTGCATGCATGTGTGGGTGCTGCTGCAAGCCCAGAGCCAAGTGTCCACCTACACCATGCAAGCAGGAGCAGCTCCTCTCATGGGGCATGGGTGGCGGTGGCAGCGCGGCGAGCCAGGAACATGAGTGACGGGTGGGCCGCCTCTGCGTGCCTGCTGCCCCGCCCCTGCCCCTCCCCCATGCCTCGCTTGCCTGTCTGTGCACGCTGCAGCAGGGTCACAGGTGGCGGCCTGGCAAGGCCCCGTGTGTTGCCGTGAGGGGTGGTGGTGGTGGGGTGGAGCGGCACTGGCAGCTGCCATGCGTGCGGAGGGTTCATGGGGGCCTGCACCTGCTGGGCTGCCAGCACGGGACTTATGGGAGCCAGTGTGGTACGGGCATATGGGGCATGTGTGGCATGTACATGTGCGGGCTGAACAGTGGGAGTAGCAGGATAAGGTGAGACAGGAAGAGGATTGAGTGCAGAAGGTGTCGCGTTGGGTGCAGCAGAGGGTGCAGCAGAGGGCAGAGCATTTGGGAACGCACTCCTTGACACGTCCACAACTGGCGCTGGCTGCCCAATGCCTCCACCTCCCACTCTGCTGCTCTGCGCACCCTCCCCTGACCATGCCTGCGAACCATTCACAGCTGCTGCTGCTGCTCCCAGTGACTGCTGTCCTGTGCTGCCCACACTCCCACCCGCACTCACAACACCAGCTGAACCCCCCACTGCACCCACCCCCCCTCCCACGACCGTAGCCGCCACCGCAACTGCCACCTGTTCCGGTGCAACCCGTGCGCCCATGGCACTGCCTGTGGCAGCAGCAATGGCATGAGTGGCAACAGCAGTACTGGCAGCAGCCACACCAGCACCAGCAGCAGTGGCGGCACCAGCACCAGCACCAGCACCAGCAGCAGCAGCAGCAGCAGCAGCAGCACCAGCACCAGCACCAGCACCAGCACCAGCACCAGCACCAGCACCAGCACCAGCACCAGCACCAGCACCAGCACCAGCACCAGCACCAGCACCAGCACCAGCAGCACCTGCGGCAGTGGCATATCTGACAGCACCAGCACCAGCACCAGCACCAGCACCAGCACCAGCACCAGCACCAGCAGCACCTGCGGCAGTGGCATATCTGACAGCACCAGCACCAGCACCAGCACCAGCACCAGCAGCAGCACCAGCACCAGCAGCAGCACCAGCAGCAGCACCAGCACCAGCAGCAGCACCAGCACCAGCAGCACCTGCGGCAGTGGCATATCTGACAGCACCAGCACCAGCACCACCAGCACCAGCACCAGCACCAGCACCAGCACCAGCAGCACCTGCGGCAGTGGCATATCTGACAGCACCAGCACCAGCACCAGCACCAGCACCAGCACCAGCAGCACCTGCGGCAGTGGCATATCTGACAGCACCAGCACCAGCACCAGCACCAGCATCAGCACCAGTACCAGCAGCAGCAACCCTGCCAGCATTGCCAGCTCGGGCAATGCCCTTTGCACCACGCTCCCTCCCACCCGCTGCTGCTCTCATCCCCCCTCTCCCAGCACCCAACCCATCCCTCCTACCCACCTTCGCCCCCTTTCCCCCCAGCCCTCTGACTGCCTCTCTCCCCCACTCATTCCTCCCTAACTTCCCACCCGCCCTCCAATCCCTCCCCTTCGTCCCATCCCGCTCGCCCTCGCTGCTGCGCTCATAAGGCGGCGATGGGGTGGAGGGCACCCACGAGGCAGAAGAGGCGCAAGAGGCATGTGGGGATTGTGGGATGGCATGTGAGGCGGCATCCACGGACATCACATCAGCTGACATGCGCCCAATGATGCTTGCCACCTCCTCCACTCCCGCCCTCACCCGCCCCGCCTCCTCCCCCACTCCCACCCGCCCCTCCTCGTCCCAACGCCTTCCGACTTCCGTCCCTCCCACTGCCCCATTGTCCAGGCTTCCCCCACCTGCTCCCCCCATCTGCGCCATCCCCCATGCCACTGCTGCCTCCTGCTCCCCTTCCATCCCGCCCTCCTCGCTCCCCTTGTCACTCCACTCTTCATCCACTGCCTCCATTCCCCCCACGCCCCCTGCACCTGCACCTGCACCTGCACCTGCTGCTACCTCTGCTCCACTCACGTCTGCCTCCTCACCGTTTCTCCTGCCCACACCCTCGCCCTCCACCCCTCCATCCTCTCCCCCTCTACTCTTCTTCCCCTCCTCCCCCCCACCCCTAATACCCGTTTCTGTCCAGTCGCCACCCCCCCCCCTCCTCCTCCTCCTCCTCCTCCTCCTCCTCCTCCTCCTCCTCCTCCTCCTCCTCCTCCTCCTCCTCCTCCTCCTCCTCCTCCTCCTCCTCCTCCTCCTCCTCCTCCTCCTCCTCCTCCTCTCCACTCGCCTCACTAGCCATCATGCACTCAATAGCCACACCTCTCCTCAGCATCCCTCTGAACCGAGCTCCAATGTCCACCGCTGCCACTGTTCCCTCACTCTCCAATCCCTCACTACATCTCTGCACACCACCACCACCCTCGCCCTTTCGTGCCTCAGTCACATGACCACCGGCACCACTATTCCCATGTGCTTCAGCCCCTGCACCCCTGCTTCCTTTCCCTACCCCAATCCCCATCCTCCTCACCCTCATCCCCCTTCTCTCATTCTCTTCCCCTCGACCTCTCCCTCTGCCTGTCCCTCTTCCTCTCTCCCTGCTCCTTCGTGTGGAGCGGCCAGCAAGAGTGGCGATGATGGTGGCAGGGGAGAAGAGAGCGTTGCTGTGCAGTGTCAACAGGGGGGAAGAAGCCACATGGGGGATGGATGGCAGGGCGATGGGCGCAAGAGGCGAGGACAGGACAGCCACAAGGGCACCTGGAGTTGACCTTCCCAGCCCCATTGAATCTCCCTTCTCTTCCTTCATTTTCTCTTCCTCTCTCCTCTCGGCTTCCTCCCCCTCCTCCTCCTCCTCCTCCTCCTCCTCCTCCTCCTCCTCCTCCTCCTCCTCCTCCTCCTCCTCCCCTACATCCTGTTTCCCTTCCTCCCCTCCCTCCCCTTCCTCCTCCTCCTCCTCCTCCGCATGCTCGTCCTGCGCCCACCCTTGCACGAGCACGTGGGAGTTCGTCCGGCCATCTGCCGGCCCACCACTGCCTTGCTGTGACTGCCCAGGTGCAGGCTGGCCACGAGCAGCAGGTGCAGAGTGGTGCAGAGGAGGTGCGGAGTGGTGCAGAGGAGGTGCGGAGTGGTGCAGAGGAGGTGCGGAGTGGTGCAGAGGAGATGCGGAGTGGTGCAGAGGAGAGGATGGGTCGTCCGTCGAGATGTCATGCCATGATGTTGTTAGCGCTGACATCATACCCACATGCACCTCCGCGTTCTGATGTCCACGCCCATGCCCAGACCCACACCCATCCACACGCCCATCTGCTGGCATGTGCCCATCTCGCCCGCCCCCCACCTCACACTCGTACTTTTCCCCCACCGCTCGCCGTTTCACACCCCTTCTCCCCTCTTCCCCATCACCACCCACCCCACTCCCTCCCTCCGTCTCACTCCCCTCCTCCACAACTCTGTTGCCTCGCCACCTCTCTCCCGCAGTGCTCATGCGCTCCTCTGCTCTCCCTGCCTTCCACCCAGCCCTCCTCCCAGTGCCACCTGCGCTCCTGTTATCCCCACCTTCATCGTTCCCAGGTAAGGTAAGCGGTGCAGCCAGAAAGTTGGTGCCTCTACTGCTTCTGCCTCTACTGCCGCTACTACTGCTACTGCTGACGCTGCTACTGCTGCCGCTGCTGGTGAGGATAATGCTTGGGGTACCAATGCTGCCGCCGCTGCTGCCGCAGCTGTGGGCGTGGCGAGCAGCGGCACAGGGAAGCAGGGGAGGCGCGAGGCGGGCGCAGAGGGGCGGGGGGAGCAGGCGATGGAGAAGAGGGTTCATTAGGAGAGCGAGGAGGAGGAGGGGAAGAGAAAAGGAGGCGGCAAGGAAGGGCAGGTAGGACCACCCGAGCAGCAGGCCGGCTGAGAGGCACTCCAGGGAGGTGAGGCGGCGGAGGAAGGGGAGGGCGGATGGGGGGAGAGGGGGGAGAGAAGGGCGACGGGAGGGGTGGGCGAGGGAGAGGAGGAGGTGGAGGTGGAGTGAAGGGGGGAAGAGTAGGATTGCCATCTGCCAGAACAGAAAGAGGTGGGTGGGAGAGGCAGAGCGAGGAAGGAGAAGGAATGTGTATCACGGCACGGGGAAACACATCGCGCTGCTATAAGCACGGGAGGGTGGATATGGGATGGGAAGCATGCATGTGCGGATGTGGATCGCTGATCACTGAAGACCCGCAGACAGGGGCCAAGCTACCCGCTGACCGCTGCAGGTACGTAAGGAACCCCTATGCAGGGACAATATGCTCTCTATAAGACATCCTGCATGCAAAGAAGACAGTTGTTCAAGAGGGGGGCCACTGCACCGTAGTAGTCGTACCCACAACGACAGACAAATCACACCCCCTTTCATGTGTCTGCACCTTTCATTTCTTATGAATACTCATCAGTTACTGCAATGCAAGTGCAAGAGCGTCACTCACAGCCATGCACGAATGCTTCATTCCATCTAAAACACCCAAAGCACTCACCGCCATGCAAGTGCCGATGAGGGGCGCGATGGGCACGAGGGTGAGGATGCGAGCAGGCGTGGAGGGCAGGGCGAGCAGCGCCAGCAGAGCCGCCAGCAAACCCCCCACGGTGCGCCACTCACACACCAGCGCCGCCAGGGGGGCAGGGGGAGAGGGCGGAGAGTGCGGAGGGCGTGTGCCTGGCACTGATGAGCTCCCCTGGCTGCCAGCAGCGAGTGGCACGAGAGGCAGCAGCATGGAGTCGGATGCGGGCCTCATGGTGGTGTTGCCACGGCGGGGGGAGTGCTTGCGTGGGCGGGCTACATGAGGGCCCGCGGTGCGGCGTTGACTGGCGGTTGTGACAGTGGCAGGTGCAGTGGGCGGTGCATGCTTGAGCAGGTATGAGAGGCGGATGGTGCTCTGCAGGGGAAGAACAGCACACGAAGGGGGGGAGGGGAAGGGCAGGCAGCAAGATGGAAGTGGATGAGTGCTGGTGTGACATGTGTGAGGGCACCCATCTGCCATGGGTGGCTGGGCGTGAAGTGGAACCGTTTTGGAGAATCCAGGAAGCACAGAGATGAGTCTTGTAGAGAATAAAGGCAGACGAAACTCAAATTGGGTGGTGGCAGGATGTGGCACACAAATGGAGCGCATGGATATGGAAGGGTGCACAGGTGATCGTTACCAGATATGGAATGCGGATGGGAGGAGGGAGGCCGAGCAGGAGACAGAGAGCCACCACTATGGCAGTCACACACAGGTCCCACTCCCTCACACTCACTCTCTCACACCCTCTCTCACACCCTCTCTCACTGCTCACTGCCATTGCCACTGTCCCAGCTGCAACCCCCTCTCCTGCATCCACTCTCCATCCCTCTTCATCCTCTTCTTCCTCCCCTCCACCTCCACCATACCCCCGCCCATCATTTCCCCCCACCACCTCGTCAACCCTTCCCCCACCCTGCTCATGCCCTCCTCCTGTGCCTCCTGCTGGTTCCCCCACGCCCATACCCCACTCCACGTCCCCTGCCCTCTCCGCCTCTCCACCCCTGCCTCCCCACCCCTTCACCCCTGCTCCCCTCCGCTTCCTCCTCGCACGCTCTGCTCCCCAAGCCTGCTCTGCCCTCACGCGCTGCCCACACCCCGCAGCACCATGCAGCTGCGCCTGAGGTGTTGGAGGGTGTGGGGTGCGGTGATGAGCGGTAGCCGGAAAGAGGAAGGGTGTTGGAAAGGAGACAGGAAGGGGAGGGAACTTGAGAGAGGAACGTTCAGAAGAGAGGGCAGAGGATGGGAGGGATGGAATGAAATACAAAGGGGTGGTGATGGAAGGAGGAACAGGAGAGTGGAGCGAAGGGAATAGCAGGTACCTGGTAAGAGGCAGAATGAACGACAATCCTGACGAAATGCTGCAGTGCTGTGTGCGTGGAAGAGCAACCAGCGTTGCCCCCTCAGACACATCAGCACGCACCTCATGCTGCAGCGCTAGTCCTCACCTCATGCTGCAGCGCTGCTGTGTTGTGCTGCTGGAAGAGCAGCGCCGCCAGCAGCGCTCCCGGCAGTGCAGCTGCCATGGCCGCCCCCACTGACACGCCCCCCAGGTGGGCGCCCCACGGGATGGACGGGATGAGGGGCGCGGCGGACTGCAGAGGCAGCTGGTAGGAGAGGAGTGGCGGGAGATGGAGGAAGGGGGGCAAAGCCAGGAGCACTGGGGGGAGATGGGGGAAGGGCAGGAGGGTGGGAGAGGGAAAGGAGAGGAAGAGGGGAATGAGCGGGGAGTAGAGACGTACAAGGCACACGCACCCGCAAGACGGCCTTCCTGCCACCTCTGTTGGGCCGGCAAGTTTGAGCGCCGTGGTGACGAGCCTTGGGAAAGCACTCATTGCCACGGCAACAGCTTCAGAGGCCAAGTTCGGCAATAGCTGGTGGCTGCCTCACTGCAGGAAGGAGCATGCCCTCCCCCTTCCACGCCCTCCAAGTCCCAGTGCTTTCGAATGAGTTGCTGTCCTCAGTAGCAGGCTAGTCTGTGGTGGAAGGAAAGGAACCAACCTTACAGACGCTGATCTCTCTATGCCTCTTGTGACTGTGCCAGCAGAAATCTTTGGGATACAAATAAAGGGTGGCAAGGCTGGATCCGGGCCAGCTCTGTCCCAAGCAGCGCATCGTGTGGTGCAGGTATGCCTCGTAGCACTGACCGTGCTACGCGATTCCACTAGGGCCAGCCCAGGCCCACAGCGTGCGTGCTGCCTTGCCCTCTCGACCAAACGTGTTGAAGCGAGTGAGAGATAGCACGAGAGATTGATGCGAGCATATGCGAGAGCGGGAGAGTACGTGCCTGCAGACGCGAGGAAGGCCAGTATGAGCGCATAGTGCGCAAGCGAACCACGGATGTAGCCACTCAGAACATGCCACGTGGCAGCTCTGCTAAGCCACAGTGCAATGATGACCCCCGCCGCCGCCACACACACCGTCGCAAACGCCACCGCCTCCCCTCCCTCCACCCCCGCCGCCTGCCTGAAACCCTCCGCACTCATCTGCACCGCACCCACAAACAGCACTCCGCTCGTCACCACTCCTTCCACCCGCCACATGGCAGCACCCCACTGGTCCGCAGCTCGGCACGCATTCCCTCCCGCAGCCAGCAGAAGGAACACAGCCGCCCAGAGCCCCACCCAGCCCAGCCAGGGCAGGAAGGGCACCCCCAGCGCGCCACTCACCCGCCACAGCCCGCCCATGAGCGCCGCTCCCAGGGGGCTGGGCGCGGGGGCGGTGGCAGGCAGGGCGGAGAGCAGAGCAAAGAGGGCCTCTGAGAGGGCGGTGGAGAGGAGGGCGTGGCGGGGGGCGAAGGCGTGGCGGGTGAGCAGCGCGAGCAGCTGCCCCACGGCCATGCAGTGCAGCATCGCGTGCAGCGCGCAGGGGAGGAGGGCGAGCGCTGCCTGGTTGCTGATGCCACACCCGCCCACGCAGGTGGCGCCTGGGGGAGGTGGCATGTGAGGGACTGGTAACGGGGTATCGAGCTCGTTGGTGCTGTTACTGCTGCTGCTGCTGGGGGTGGCGAGTGCTGGCAATTGGAACACGGCGGAGGATCGCAGGGCGGTGATGACGTCATGGAACAGCCAGCTGGCGCCGTGCGGTTGGTTGGGAGTTCGTTGAATGTATCTGAACTCATCTTGCTCCACATGCCCCTGATGCCCCTCCCCCTCCCCCTCGGCCCCCACGTCCACCACCACCATGCCTTCTCCCCCCATCCGCCTACCCCCTTCGTTCCCCTTATCACCCTCATCCCCCCATCTGCGCTCCATACTATCCCCGCTCACCCCTCCCCCTGCCCTTCCATGTCCCCCCTCTGCTCCTCCCCCCTCACCCCCCAGCCCTCTCAGAATCCCGTCCGCCCGCGTGCCTCCTCCCCCCCCTTTTGCGCCGTCCCTGCGCCCTGCGCGGAGGTAAGCGGGAAGGGTTGAGGGCAGCTTGGCCGCGCTGCTGGGCGCGGCGGAGGCGGGGGGAGCGGCGGAGGCGGAGCTAGTACTACTAGGGGACGCGGGGGTGATTTCCTGACGAGGACGTGCTGGGCGCAGTGCCATGGATGGAGATTAATGTCCCCTCGCTGACATGCATGGCGAAATTTGCGCAATCAATGGAATTGGATGAATCAGCGCAATCCAGGCAATCAGAGAAGTGGGCGCAATGGGCGCGCTAGTGAGGAGCCACTCCGCCGGTAGTAGCGCGTCGTATCTCGCTTGTCGCATCTCGCACCTCCCATCTTCCCCCCCCGGTGCGCGTGTGTACCCCTGCTTCAGCGCATCAGGTTCGAGGCGTCTAACACGCGAGAGTCGTCCCCACGCAAGCAGGCTGCAACTCGGCCAAGGTAGTGTTCGTCGGAAGGCAAGCGCGCTACCCCTCCCCTCATCCCCATGCGTGTTTCTCTGCGCTTGTGCATGAGCACAGCTACAGTCACCCCCCGCCAGCAACAAGCTTGTCCCCGCAGCGATGCATCGCGGCATCGTCGCGAGCCCGCACTGACGCGGCATTTTCCGCGCGCTGACAGTCGGAGGGGAGTGGGGCAGTGGGATGGCGGCCCTGAAGGGTGCGACTGGCGGGCGACGGCGGAGATCGGCGCTGGTGAGTAATGCGTTGATGAATGGACGGCGGAAGATTTGCAAAAAGCCATTCGAGATGTGCGAGATGGGACGACGCGAGAGAGCGTGCTGGATCGAGGCGGCCGTGGCGACATGCGACTTGCGACGTGCGACACGGGAGCGACATTCGAGACGAGATCGTGACAACACGTGCGACCGCAGAGGAGTGAGAAGGCTCCTCATCCTGGGTCGGGCGTGCTGGCGCGTTGTCGCGGTAGCGAGACGAGTTATCGGCGCGCGCCATCAGATGTAGCGAGTGACACTCGACTGGTCGACGAAGTTCGAGATGGCCTGCGAGCGAGTCTGCGACGAATTGCGACGGCGAGCGATGCGAGGAAGGATATGTGAATTGACTAGTGACAGGTGTGACAGTGGGGCTGTGTCGGCGTGGCATTAGGATGAATGCGAATGGCACATACTCGATAGTGGGTACGTAGGAACCTTATGTACATGAAAAGGTCGGGATAAAAATGTGAAGTAGTTTTAAATGTTCGGAGAATCTAAACATTCCAGCCATTATCAAGATTTTTTTAAGGACAAATGAGCTGTTTGATGAGTTGTGTTTTACTTTATCATATACGTACCTTCTTTAGGTTGTGAAAACAGACATGCTGGGCGAATTGGATCCCCATATCAGATAACTCCTCTGTACTGCAGGCTTATAGCTATTTCACGAATACCGGTACCTTAAACGCGGGTGGGTTCGTCTCAGCAGCGACCCACACGTGTCCGCACCGACACCACACCATCGTGTGGGTGGACGTGAATGCGCCTTTTGAATCCATCACCACACATGTTCGACACACACTGGCGTTGGCTCATTAGCGAGATTTGCGGAGCTGTCGGCGATCGTTTAGTCAGCAATTTAACTACTCGAAGAACTTGGGCTCGTGGTCGTCCTCCGCGCGAAAGATCGATCAGCGGCCGTGGCGATCGCAACCGCGACTCGGGAGTGCGATTCGCGCGTCAGGAAGCGATAGTTGTCGGCTTTGCGAGTCGAATTGTGGATCGTCGAAAGCAACTGGCGGCAGGGGGTTGATTCGCGATGGCGGCCGCGACGGACGGCGGCGATGGCATCTCAGGGGTAAGGCAGCCGAAGCGGGAAGAGCGGCGGAACAGGGCAGGCGGCGACCTCTTTGATCCGCGCCAATCACCGCCTATCCAGGCAGCAGGCAGCAGCCACAGGCGTGAGCAGCAATGAGGCAGCAGTACCCTTCAACCGCCCCCGTTTTTCCAAGAGTCACAGCTCACCTCCCATTCGGCCCCCGCCCTACACTCCCAACTCCCTTTACCCCCCCTTCTATCCCCTCCCCCGGGTCCCAACCCTCCTTCCTCCCAGCAGCCATCGCCGGAGGACAAAGCGTCGCTGTGGCCGCGCCTCACGTTCGCGCGGGTTGGGCCGCTCATCCGCTCATCCGCTCATCCGCCTCACGTTCTGTCCCCCTCCTTCCCCTGCCATCCGCTCTCTCCCCGCAGCCATCGCCGGAGGACGAGGCGTCGCTGTGGTCGCGCCTGACGTTCGCGTGGGTGGGGCCGCTGATCCGTCTGGGCAACGCCAAGGTGCTGCGCGCCTCCGACCTGCCGCCCCTCTGCCCGCGCGACTCCACCGCTGCTGTCGCTCCCTCGCTCAAGGCCGCGTGGCACGCTGAGACAACCGCCAACCGCAGGTGCTCCACCAGAGTTGTATGCATGTACGTTATCATGTATATGCATGATATGTCTGTGTATATATGCATCGTGCTTTCATCACTAAGCTTGCCTCCCCTCACCCTCTCCCTGGTCACCCCTGGTTGCCCGTGTCTCTGCGCCATGCCTCCATGCGCGCAGCAGCGGGCAAGCAGGCTGACATCCTGCGCGTCCACCTGCTACCCTCCTCACCTCCTGTCCCCTCTCTCCCTCACCTGTCTGCTCTGAAGCGTCCCTTTCTGGCCCGCGCGCTAGCGAGCGCTCTGGAATCTCCTCTGCTCCTCGCCATGCCACTCTCTGCCCCTCAAGACTGCTTCTTTCCGCTTTCCCCCTCCCCTCTTTCTCTCCCTCTTTCCGCTTTCCCCCTCCCCTCTCCCACTACCCGCCATCTCTCCCCTCTCCCCCTGCGCCCAGGCGTCCCTCGCTGCCCCGGGCGTTGGTGAGCACATTCATGCGTCCCTTCATGGCAGCGGGGGCGCTGAAGCTCATTCACGACCTGCTGCAGCTCGCCTCGCCGCTGCTGCTGCAACAGATCATCCTCCACCTCAGCATGACGTCATTCCACGTCAGCACGGCGCCTCCTCACAAAGCAGACAGCACCTCAGCTGACAGCTTCCTTGGTCCCTCGCTAGTCCTCCCCAACTCCTCACTCCCCTTTCCCTCCACCCTCGCGCCATCCCTCCACCGCTCGCTCCTCTCCTCCCCCCTCCACCCACCCGACCCCCCTCACTTCCCCACTCTCCTCTCTCCCCCCAGCACCGCAACTTCTTGCTTGGATCTTCCTCCCTCTCGTATCTTTTGTCCCTCAAGCGCCCCCCCACACCCAGAGTCCAATCGCCAACACCACTGTTGGCTTCACGCCCCCCCTTACACACTCCTCAACGCACCCACTCCCATTTTCCGCCTCCTCGCACTTATCCTCGTTAGTGACCGCTTCGTTACCAGCGTGGCTGCCAGGGCTGCTGCTAGCGGGGGTGCTGCTGGCGTGCAATGTGTGCCAGTCGCTCGTCGCCCATCAGTACTTCCACCGCCTCTACCGCCTCTCCTCCCATGTATGCGCCTCTCCTCCTATACAGCTGTACGCCCCTCTCACATTCCATTTCACTCTCATTCCCTCCCACTGCACTCCACCCCTGTGCAACCGCATCCCTCCCCTGCCTCGTCCCACCCCGTCCTCCCTCACGCTGCCCTTTCCATGCCGCATCCCCGTGCATGCCCAATTCACCCACCCCCCTCCCCTCCCCCCATTCCTCCGCGCACGTTGCGCTGCCCTCAGGTGCGCACAGCAATGGTGGCGCTCATCTACTCCAAGGCGCTGCGCATCTCCGCTGCAGCGCGCCACTCCACCAGCCTCGGGGAGATTGTACGTCAGCCTGCCCCCTTCACATCTGCCTGTTGCAGCGGGCCATGTGGCACCCAGTGACTCGTCCATTCCATCACATGCTTGACCTCTCTGTCTTCCATTCCACGCTCGTTATTCTCACATCTCCCTCTCACGCCCCTCAAATCGAGTCTCCCCATCAAAATGCACTGTTCGATGGTTGTTAACCTGCATACAGCACGCACCTCCACCACACTGCTCTCAACTGAAGCCCGCGATGCAACCCGCTTCTGTTGTTTCCACCTGAGCAGGTGAATCTGCAGAGCAACGATGCGGAGAAGCTGGCGAAGCTGTGCATCTATCTGCACATCGTGTGGAGTGGGCCCCTGCAGATCATCGGTGAGGGGGTCTGATGAGGTGTGAGCCCTGCTGATGCTGAGGAAGGGGAGGAAAATCATTGGAGAGGGATCGAGGCTGGATGGAGGCTACAGAAAAACGTCATTCTACCTGTGCCCCCCTGTTTGCCTGCTTGCGTGCTTTCTGCTCGCCTACATGACTACACCAAGCAGTGACTCAGGTCAGCAGCCCACTCTGGCTTCACTCTCCACCCCTCCACCCCTCCTCATCCCCCCACCAGGTGCATTGGCCTTGCTCTTCCGCTTCCTCTCTGTCATCCCCGGTGAGTCTATTCCCCACTCTTTACGAGCCTTGCCATGCCATGCCTTGCCATGCCATGCCATGCCATGCCACCACGCCCTGCTATCGTCATGCTGTCACCATGTCAACACAATGCCGCCATGCCATGCCATGCCATGCCATCGCCCTACCTGCTGCTCCTACCCTTGTGATGACCACATGGGTCGGCTGTCCGCCTCCTCAAGCCTCCCATCCGCACTCCGCCCTCCCTTCCCCCATCCCAACAGCCCTGGCGGGGCTGGCGACGATGCTGCTGCTGATGCCGTTCAACGGGGTGCTCATGGGGCGCCTGTCAGCAGTGCGCCACCGCCTCATAGCGCGCACCGATGCGCGCGTGCGCCTGCTGTCCGAGGCCGTGGGCGCCATGCGCGCGCTCAAGCTCAACGGCTGGGAGGCGCTGTTCAAGGCGAGCATCGAGGCCAAGCGGGCCGAGGAGATGAGGGAGGTCACTGTCTCCGTGCTGCTCGGTGCGTGGGAGGGTTAAGCTGGTGGATTAATGGATGGATGTGTTGGGGTCTGGCTCTTCAGCGGGGATTGATGGAGATGGTTGTGTGGTGCAGGGGTGTGTGCATGCTGTACCCCATCGAGTTTTGCTCTGCTAACGCGCTACCTCACTCACTCCCATAGCCAGGCCGTTATGATGCTCGCATCGTCAGCATTCCATCTTACCCTATCACCTCTATGCCCCCTCTGCCCTTTATGCCACCTGTGCTACCCTCTCCCCCTCCCCAACCACCACCAGAGGCAATGGGGTTGTTTGTGTACTACCTCACTCCCATGGTCGTCAGTGTCGTCTCCCTCGCCGCCTATGTGCTGCTCGGCCGCCCACTCACCGCTGACATCGCCTTCCCCGCCCTCGCGCTCTTCAACCTCCTCAGGTGCGCTCCCTCCCCACTCATGCCCGCAGCCCGCCTCCCTTGGGTGTGTCTACAGGGTGACGTGGGCTTAGTTCGGGGTGAGGTGGGTTTGGTCTGGGGTGCGGTGGCACTATCACTTGCTGATGACCCTTCCCAGCCAAGGTTCAAAAATACGGTTTTCGTAAATTACGGTTCGTATTTCACGGTCCGTTTTTAACTGTATTTTTTCAAAAATACGGCCGTTTTTTTGCTAGAGAACTCTTGCCACCAAGAAACAAAAAGGCAAAAACAAGGTCTGATACATTTTCAGTCATGCCCACACATGCACACATGCAAGGAGAGGTTCGTCCTCTTCATGCTGGTGCTTTTCGCCAAAACTTTGGTCCGATAATGTGGCCGTTTTTTTCTTCAAACAATAGTCACCTTCTGGAACCGTTTTTTATGGTCGTTTTTTACGGTAACGTTTGTTACGGTAGTTTTTTAAAAATACGGTCGTTTTTCTTAACCTTGTTCCCAGCTAGTGCCTGCTGCACTGAGCTGGGGCTCGGGTGGTGATTCCACGTGATAGCTCTCTTTTCCATTGCTCAGCCAGTCACTCAAGAGGCCCTTGCCCTAACCCTTGCTACTGCCCTCTCCATTGACTAATGCATCCACATCCCCACCTCTACTCTCCCTTCCTCCCACATTGCACGTGCAGGTTCCCGCTGGCCATGATTCCTGATCAAATCAACGACTACGTGCAAGCCAAGGTCTCCGCAGGGCGTGTTGAAAAGTTTCTGCTGCTGCCTGAGATTGTTCCGTTGGAAGAGGATCCGGGCAACAGGAAGGGCAGCATAAAGCTTTGCCATGCATCATTCTCCTGGGGAGGGGGGGGAGGCGACATGGACAGCGCTAGTGGTGCTGATGGCAGTGGCAGCGACAATTCAAGCAGTATTGGTGGGGGTGGCAGCAGTGGGAGTGGCAGTGCTGCTGCGGCAATGGGTGTGAATGGAATGGTGGCATGTGAAGTGAAGGAGAAGGGAGGGGAGGAGGGAGGGATGAAGGGAGCAAAGGTGGGAGCGGAGGGGGGGGAAGGGGCGTTGGCGCTGTGTGATGTGACGCTGGACATTCCACCAGGGCAGCTCGTGATCGTCGTGGGCGAGGTGAGTGCGCTCTCACCCATGCGCATGTGCACCGCTCCGCCCCTCACTCATCCGCCCTCTTTGTTCGCCTCCTATTTCCCTCCCCCCTCCGTATCGTCCTCTCATTTGGTCGCCAGCAAGTCGTCTCTGCCCGCCAGGGTGATATGGAAAGCACTTAAGCAAGATTGGAAGCTTTTAAAAAGCATCTTCCCGCCCTCCCTCTGCCTCCCATTCCCCTTCTCATCCTCCCCACCTCCTCCCGCATGGCCAGGTGGGGGCCGGCAAGTCGTCGCTGCTGGCGGGGCTTCTGGGGGAAATTGCTCGTGTAGCGGGCAGTGTGTCGGTGGCAGGCCGCGTGGCTTACACCAGCCAGGTGAGAGTCTTATGCTCACATGCATGTGCATCGTCATGTGGTGAGACATGCATATGGCCATGCAAGCCCCACTGCATGCTGCATGGCAGGCTGGTGGATGAGGGGTGTGTTCCTCAGCACGCTGTGGCAGGCTCCATTCTCTTGCTTTTACTCTTAATACTGTTTCTTGCTACCTTCCTCAACACGTCCACCCTCACCATTCTGCATGGGTGTGTGGGTGAGTGGCGCCATGGCATGACTCGACAACATCCTCAAGGGGGCAGCAGGCGAGCCAGCACGAGGGCTGCTCCCTTTAGACCTTATCAGAGCAGCTTCACTCTGTTCTGTTCTCTCTACACCAATCTGGAATCCACCATCCGCCATTCCCCACCATGCATGGCAGGACCCATGGATTCTCAACGCCACGGTGCGAGACAACATTCTCATGGGGGCGGCGGGTGAGGCAGCAGCAGTGGACGAGGCACGGTATCAGCGCGCCATAGATGTGTGTGCGTTGAGGCACGACCTCGCCATGCTGCCCGGCGGTGACATGGCTGAGATCGGCGAGCGCGGTGCGTGTGTTTCACATGGCTTGTTCCGAGCAGCGCAATGATATCACAGCTGATGAGTGCCAAATTTACCCATTATGATGCGTATACTTTGATCTTGATGCGGCATCTTCCAGTAAAACCTCTCTCCTTTTGCTTCCGTCTCTCCCTTAGTAAACCCTTTGCCTCCTGTTACACTGAAGCCAGCTAGGATAATGTGCTGAGTGAGTTGCACGCCGTTGGCTGCAGCTTCTCTCAAATGGTGGTGGTCGGTCCATCTGTTCTCCCCATTGCTCTGCTTTTCCATGCTTCTATTTACTCGGGGTGCTCCTGACTTCAGTTGGGCCACAAGTAGTTGCGATTCTCCCACCCTCCTCTGCTACCTCCCCGCAATGCCATCTCACGATTCATCCACCTCATTCGCCCATCCACCCGCCAGGCATCAACCTGTCGGGCGGGCAGAAGCACCGGGTGGCGCTGGCGAGGGCGGTGTATGCGCGGGCAGACGTGGTGCTGCTGGACGACCCACTCAGCGCCGTCGACACTCATGTCGGTGCGTGCGCATGCTGGATTGTGCTTGCTATTGTATGGCATGAATTTTTGGTGGGAGTGGGTGCATGGCGGGTGGGTGGGTGCGTGCTGCAGGGCATGGTGTGGCATGACCTGGTCGTACTGGTGGCTTTGTCGCACGGGAACATGGCAACGAGCATGTGGATTGCATGAGGGAAGCACTGAACTAGCATAAGTGCTGTCCTTTGACAAACAAGTCTTTGCACACAAACCTCCCTTGCTCCAACTGCCATGCGCGCTGTACTCCATACACCTCTCGCAGGCCGCCACCTGTTCACGGAGTGCATATGTGGTGAGCTGGCGGGGACCACACGTGTGCTGGTGACGCATCAGCTGCAATATGCATGTCATGCTGACGTCATCATCGTCATCAGAGCAGGCCGTGTGGCTGCAATGGGCACCTTTGACGAGCTGCAGGCGAGGTGAGGTATCAGGTGAGATATCAGGTGAGATCTCAGGTGAGATCTCAGGTGAGATCTCTGGTGAGTTCTGAGGTGAGATCTCAGGTGAGATCTCAGGTGAGATCGCTCAGGTGAGATCTCAGGTGAGATCTCAGGTGAGCTCCTCAGGTGAGCACTTGAGTCGTCGTGGTGCAGCAGTGGGAGCAGGGGTATTGCACAATCAGTCTGCAATGCATCGTGTGTGCGTCTCCTCTCTCGCATACACCTGCTCCTCTGTGTGCGTCTCCTCTGTCGCATGCACCTGCTCCTCTGTGTGCGTCTCCTCTCTCGCATACACCTGCTCCTCTGTGTGCGTCTCCTCTGTCGCATACACCTGCTCCTCTGTGTGCGTCTCCTCTGTCGCATACACCTGCTCCTCTGTGTGCGTCTCCTCTCTCGCATACACCTGCTCCTCTGTGTGCATCTCCTCTCTCGCATACACCTGCTCCTCTGTGTGCGTCTCCTCTCTCGCATACACCTGCTCCTCTGTGTGCGTCTCCTCTCTTGCATACACCTGCTCCTCTGTGTGCGTCTCCTCTCTCGCATATACCTGCTCCTCTGTGTGCGTCTCCTCTCTCGCATACACCTGCTCCTCTGTGTGCGTCTCCTCTCTCGCATACACCTGCTCCTCTGTGTGCGTCTCCTCTCTCGCATACACCTGCTCCTCTGTGTGCGTCTCCTCTCTCGCATACACCTGCTCCTCTGTGTGCGTCTCCTCTCTCGCATACACCTGCTCCTCTGTGTGCGTCTCCTCTCTCGCATACACCTGCTCCTCTGTGTGCATCTCCTCTCTCGCATACACCTGCTCCCCTGTGTGCTTCTCTGTCCAACGCCGACCCAAAGGCGTTTTGACATTGCTTGTCGTCAATTGCCTTTCCCAAAGGCGGGCACATAAAATGCATAAAAATCCCTCCAACGGCCATGGTCATCCATGGGATGGGACCCTGAACTCTCGGTGTGCCTTTTCTTGTTAATGGTTGCTCCTGCTGCGGCCGGGCAGGTCCGGTTTCGCCCCCAACTCATTCTCTCCGTCATGCTCTCTTTTCTTCTTTGCCTGCTCTCATGTCTTTGCCCCATCAGGGGCGTGGACTTGGCACTATGGGACGAGAAGCAACAGGAGCCGGACGAGCAAGGCAAGGGCTCGTGGCAAGACGGCCTTGCTGCTACATCAACCGCTGTCACTTCTGCCACAGCACCCGAGCCAACTGCACGCAGCAGAGAGGCGGCACATATGCCCAGCAGCAGCAGCGGCAGCGGCAGCACAAGGGAGGTGGGTGGTGGAAGCACGAGCAGCAGCAGTGGCATGGCAGAGAGCGACAACGACCTCACGCGCCCACTGCTGGCTGATTCCTCGCCATCCACAGATCCAGCAGCCAGCACCGCTGCTGCTGCCCCTGCTGCTGGTAGTGGCAGCACAGGCAGCAGCAGCAGCGGTGGCGGTGGTGGCGGTGGTATCACAGCGGGTGGGAAGAAGCAGAGGGCGGAGGGGCAGCTGGTGGAGGAGGAGGGGCGAGCGGAGGGCGGGGTGGCAGCAGGCGTGTACTGGGAGTACCTTAGGGCGTGGGGTGGGCGGGCGGGGTGGCTGATGCCAGTGCTGGTGCTGGCGGTGTTTGGTGTGTCGCAGTCACTCAAAGTGGCCAGTGACACCTGGCTCGCTGTGTGGACCGCCAACACCTCCCAAGGCTCCTCCTCCGCTCCCTTCTTCCTTGTACGCTGTCTGCCTGCCCTGGTGCTGTGATATATCTGCTGACCAGCTTTTGGTCTAATGTGTTTTTTTTTTTTTTTTTTTTTTTTTTATCTGGTCCATGCACCAAATTGTTTTCTTTGCTCACAATCCCTATCCTTCTCCCATGCTCTCTCCGTCCCCCCTCTCATGTTCGCACAGCTCGTGTACAGCCTGGCAACGCTGGCCACGGGGCTCCTCTCCTCTCTCCGCGGGGTGCTGCTGGCCTTGGGTTGTCTCACAGCAGCGCGCTCGCTGCACTCGCGTCTGCTGGCCCGTGTGCTGCGCCTGCCCATGGCGTTCTTCGACTCACAGCCATCAGGCCGCCTGCTGAACCGCTTCACGCGCGACATGGAGCAGATGGACCTGCAGCTGCCCGACACCCTGCTCTCCTACCTCTCCTGCCTCTTCCAGGTCTGCCCCTTCCAGGTCTGCCCCCCACATGGTGAACTGCTGAATGCCAAGTGCACCTTCTTCCGTCCATCATGTCACCATGCCTATGACTATCACCTTCCCTGCTTTCATTTGCCATGTGACGCCTGACTCCCTTCCCCTCCCCCCGTTCCCCATCTCCCCTGTCTATTCCCTCCATCCCGGCCCCCCCTGGCAGGTGGTGTTTGCCATCCTGGTGATAGTCATCGTCACGCCACCCTTCCTGCTGCCGCTCATCCCTCTATTGCTCCTCTACCACCGCATTCAGACCATTTACATCGCCGCCTCGCGAGAGCTCAAGCGCATCGACTCACTCGCCCGCTCGCCCATCTTCGCGCACTTCAGCGAGACCCTCACCGGCCTCGCCACGGTGCGCGCCTTCCGCCGCCAGGCCGCCTTCACGGCGCGCAATAACCTCAACCTCGACCGCGCCTCCCAGGCCTACCTCGCAGCCATGGCGTCCAACCGCTGGCTCGGGCTGCGCCTCGAGCTCATCGGCGCCTCCACTGTGTTTGCCACCGCGTGCTTCTGCGTGGTCGGTGGCGTCGCCGCTGCTGCTGCTGCGGCGGCAGCGGCTGGTGGGGGTAGCGGCAGCAGCACGGGCTCGTGGGCTGCTGGGTTTGCAGGGCTGGCGCTGACGAGTGCGCTGTCGATCACGGGGTACATGAATTGGATGGTCAGGATGAACGCTGAGCTGGAGTCACAGATGAACGCGGTGGAGCGCATTCTCGAGTACACCAATCTGCCCACCGAGGCACCAGATGTGGTCGAATCCCGCCGCCCACCTGCGGACTGGCCGCAGCAAGGAGTGATAGAGGCAGAGGGAGTGGTGGTGAGGTACCGTCCAGAGTTGCCCCCCGTGCTGAAAGGACTGACTTTCTCGATTTGGGCAGGTGAAAAGGTGGGGGTGTGTGGGCGCACGGGAAGCGGAAAGACGACGCTAACCATGGCGCTGTATCGGATAGTGGAGCTGAGTGCAGGGAGGATAGTGATTGACGGCGTTGATGCTGCGAGCATCGGGCTGTGGGACCTGCGGTCGAGCCTCTCCCTGGTGCCACAGGACCCCGTGGTCTTCTCCGGTACTATCCGCTGGAACCTCGACCCCTACACTGCTGTCGCAGGGGGCGCAGGAGGGGAGCAGGATGCGAGGAGTGGGGGAAATATGGAGGGGAAGGGCGACAAAGGAAGAGTGCGAGGGGATGTGGAGTTGTGGGAGGCGCTCACGCAAGCAGGCGTGGCGGATGCCGTGCGGGCGTTGCCAGGTCAGCTTGACGCTGAGGTGGCAGAGGGAGGGGGGAACCTGAGTGTGGGGCAGAGGCAGCTGCTGTGCCTGGCACGTGCGCTGCTGCGGCGCTCGCACGTGCTTGTGTTGGACGAGGCTACATCGAACGTGGACACGGCAACAGACTCCGCTGTGCAGGCAGCGGTGAGGGGAGGGGCGTTTGCAGCGTGCACGGTGATCACCATTGCTCACCGCCTGCACACCATTGTGGACTGCCACCGGGTCATGCTGCTGGAGGATGGACAGGTGGCGGAGCTTGATTCGCCGGTGGTGCTGCTGCAGGAGAGGTCGTCGAGGTTCTCAGCGTTTGTGGATGCCACCATGCCACGGGAGGCTGCCGCTCTACGCAGAATCGCTTCGGCCAAGTCGGTGGCGGCAAGCGAGGGATGAGAGAGATGGGGACGAATAAATGCGAGAGGGCTTAGCGACACATGCACCATGAGGTAGAGAATGAAGAGTGGCCGCATTGAAGGAGTATGCCTTTGTAATAACACGTCTCTAGTAGCAACTTGTTTGCGCATGCAGCATGTCCCAATTTGCGGTTGTGTATGCAGACTGCACAGCATAGCATATAAAGATGCAGCTTTCAGTGGCACAGCTCTTGATATGACTCTACTGTTGTCCACATGGCTACTGCATTCTCCACTACACTTGAACGGTTTTCAGGGCTCTGTATGTAGCAAACAGCTCTGGCAATGTTGCCCTAATGCATGATATGTTTCAGCTGCAGTCACAACAACTGGTGCCCACCGTACCAAACAGCCCTCCTCGTCCATGGCCTCCTCAAACCTGCTCCCAGCAGCCTCCCTGGGTCACCCACCTGCCGCACTGCACAGCCCACGTGCGTGACAGCCCAGCTACCCGGTGCCTTGGGCAGTGCTTTCGAACCGCCTCTTGAGCTGCAGAGCCTTTTCAAATAACCCTTCATCCATGCCCTCCACACACCACCCCAGCTGCGCTAGTAGCACCTGCGGGGGGAGCAGGAGGCAGAGTCCAAGACGCCTCAACACCCACACAAAGGAAATCAGGGGAGGCAACTGGGGTGGATATGTGTTTTAAAAGGCGAGAAAGAAGTTGGTGGTCCTGGTGGGGGCAAAGTAGGGGGCATGAAGACAGTGGTTGGTGAAGGGGAGAGTGCAGAGAGTGCAGCATCTGATTGAGACGATTATCGACTACAGCTCCTCCATCACTCTCCTCTCAACTCTTCATTTCCCCAGAGCCTGCTAACCGTCCTCTGTTCCCCTGCACCACCTCACCAGCTTGTCTTCCGCTGCCGCGCCTTCTCGCCAATCGACACTGGAAGAGACTGTCAGGCCGCATGCTAGGTGTGACTAAGCGGGATGTCTCTACAACGAGCAGAGCTCTGGACTTATCTTCTATCCTGATGAGCGTTTCGTCACCTCCTGCTATTGGTCGGATCATGAAAAACTTGCAATTCAGTTACATTTTTTTATTCGTGATATCTTTGCAAAGGTGAAAGAGAATTCTCAACTGTACCTGCCTGTGACCCTTAGAAGAATCATCACTATAGATTGCCCCCCTGCAACTACTTCATGGACATGCATGATCCGCGCGCATGGCAAGTCGTCCATTGCGCTCGCCCTGCGGTTCTCGAAAAAACGGGTTGGGAAGGAAAACGGATGCTTCATGTGTGGCATGCGGGGTGTTTTGAAAGGACAGGGAGGGGAAGTGGAAATTGTGGAGGTGTAGCCATTAGAAAAAAGCGTTACGATCTTGCAGTTTAGAGGTGAGTGGGTCTTAGGCTGATGAACTCAAGAGAAGCCTCGCACACATCTTCTGCTGCGGACTCAAAGCCTCGCACTCATCTTCTGCTGCGGACTCAAAGCCTCGCACTCATCTTCTGCTGCGGACTCAAAGCCTCGCACTCATCTTCTGCTGCGGACTCAAAGCCTCGCACTCATCTTCTGCTGCGGACTCAAAGCCTCGCACTCATCTGCTGCGGACTCAAAGCCTCGCACTCATCTTCTGCTGCGGACTCAAAGCCTCGCACTCATCTTCTGCTGCGGACTCAAAGCCTCGCACTCATCTTCTGCTGCGGTCTGGCAGTCGCGACTTTAGTGGTGGTCGCGCCCACAGCAACGCGTCGTCCGGGGGCGTAAGGCGACGGCTGCGGTGGGAAAGGGAGGGTGGGCCCGGGGGAAAGGGAGGGTGGGACCGGGGGAAAGGGAGGGTGGGACCGGGGGAAAGGAGAGAAGGGTGCGGGAAGGGGGTTGAATGGGAGGTGACGTGTGACTATTGGAGAACGGAGGCGGTTGAATGAGAATGCCGGCTCCACTGTTCTCGTTCCTGCTCGCTGCTGCTGGCTGGATAGGCGGTGATCGGCGCGGAATCAAAGAAGCCGCCGCCTGCCCTGTTCCCCTAATCCCATGTCGGCTGCCTTACCCCTGAGACGCCATCGCGGCCGTCCGTCGAGGCCGCCATCGCGAATCAACGGCGCCTCAACCACCTGCCGCCTATCGCTTTCGACGATCCACACTTCAAATCACTAATTATCCAATGCCTGACGCCGCCTAAGTCGGGCTTCCGAGTCGCGATACCGAGTCGCGGTTGCGATCGTCACGGCCGCTGATCGATCGGTCGCGCGACGGACGCGACCACGACTCGCCGGATTGCAAAACTCGCCGGTACAAGCCTCTCCTCTCATAGCCTGAAGAGTGAAGCGGAAGAATTTACGAACGAGTGCAATTCGGTGCACCATACATTTGTAGCTCATTTTCCGTGGCTCATGACGGTTCCACGCGGTGAATTCTGGTTATCAATTTGCACCGAAACGAAGCAGACTAAACCGCACAGAAACGAGCAAGATGTCATTCACACAGACCATCGCGCAGCATATCGTGCTGTCATCGACGATCTGATTGGCTCATCCATCTTTCCCTTCGTCACGCCCATTCTCCCTCCGCCCCATCCCTCAGGGCGGGTCCCGAAAGTACCATTACTTTCATTCGATGAAAAGTAACCACAATATAGCATTTCGCTACTCGCCAACCCTTTCGTCTGGACACGACGCCAGGCTGTACAAAAGATACTGACGCGCTGCTCAACTTGGGGTACGTACTGAACAGACAGCGAGAGATACCGCTTATCCCAAGTTATCCCTTTCTGAAGGGGATAGAACAGGAAGCGAAGGGTTCCTGATTCGCCGCATTTCCCTTGGGCGAACTCACTCCGCAGTCGCAAATCAGGGGGAAATGGGTTTGCGGCAATGTAGACCTGGTAACAGGCCTAGCTAAAGGCTACGGGTCGCGGCACTGTAGACCAGCGAGTCTCTGTCTACTTTTTGAATTTCAGAGTTTTTCGTAGTGATGTGTACGTACCTGGTACGTGTTTGTACCGTTCAGCTGTACGTGTTGTATTACGTAAAACTGGGTCCCGAAACTTTTTACGTACTTTCGGGACTCGCCCTCACTCGCCTCGCTATTGCCAGTACAGTACCACCACCCATCCACGCCACTCACCCCGCGTGTCGTTCGAGCCTGCGGTATTTTAGACAGCCGCGGCCGTCGCAATAGCCATTGTTTTCTGATCTCCACTCGACGATCTAAGGCCTACCCGCCGAATTTGCCATCTGATTTGCTTGCGGCGGCCCGTGCGTAGAGAATTCCGAATTCCCGAGGGGCATGGCGCCTCAAGCTCCAGTCGCGTCAACGTGCAAGCCACCCCCGTCCCCCAAGAGACCGTCCTCACTTCTACCAGTTTCACTTGCGCCGTCCCCTCCTCCTCCTCCTCCTCCTCCTCTCATCGCACCTTCCCCTCCGCGCCTCGGCGCAAGGCCTCGTGTTGGTACCCCCTCCCCCCGACGACAGCGCGCCGATCGCGGCCCCGCCCGCCTCCAGACAACTCGCCGTTTCGCCCCCGTCGCCGCTTCGCGAGTCGCCCCGCAGCTCGGCTGACGTGGACGATGTATACCCTGACGTGTCCTCGCTTTCAATTGGCCTGGCAAACAGCACGATCCCGTCGCTGGAGCATGCTGACGTGGAAGTGGTGGTCCCCAGGCGAGCGGGCGACGGGGATGAGGCGGGGGGGAGTGGGCAGGGAACGGGAGGCGGAGAGGGGGAGGAAGGGGCGGAGGGGGGATTCGCGAGCATGGATGCGATGCTGCAGTGGGCTATAGGTACGCGTGCTGCAGTGGGTTTTAGGCATGCATGATGCAGTTGGGCTGTGGGTCTCCGGGTAACGACTGTGTTCCCGTGCAGCCATGCATGTGTGCGAGCGCGCTCATGCTGGAGTCCCGTGCCCCCCGTGTGTGCGCAGAGCGGTCGGACCCGGAGGCGTTGAAGCAGCAAGCCAGGGAGGTGGCGGGCCTCACACCTGACGAGCTGGAGGAGAAGAGAAAACACATCCGCGTCAGTGCTGCCCCTCCTCGCCTTTCCTCGCCTCATTGCCACGCACTCTGTTCCTCTGCTCTTCTGCATGCCATGTTTCCAACCCTCCCATGCTCCACAATCCCATATTTTCCCCAATGCCCCGCCCTATCCATCCCCCAGGTCTCACCTGCGTGCCCCGTGCGTGCCCCGCTGCATTGCGCATGCCTCCCCCCTCTCTCCCCCCCCCCCCCCTGCAGGACGTGGTGGAGGCCATGCGCATGCCGACCCCCGGCGACCTCATGCGCGCCGCCATCGCCCACATCGCCCCCGCTGCTGCTCATGGGGGGGCGCCAGGGGAGCAAGGGGGGGGAGAGGAGGCGCATGAGCGCGTGGTGGGCGCGCTGCAGGAGCTGGCGCAGCTGGTGGAGCCCGTGCATGCCGCCAACGGTGCGCCATCTCACCCTTGCTTGCCCGTGCTGCCACACCACACCACACCACACCACGCCACACATGAGGAGGCGGGTCTTCTCCTCCCCTCTCTCCCATCTCTCGCCCTCCCACCTGCACTCCCGCCAAACGCCATCTCCCTTCCACTTTAGTCTTCCGCTCATTGCAAATTTCCTTGTTCAGTGCTTCATGGTTGTGCTTTACTGTAAGCTGGGTTGTCCAAACAGCATTCGAGTCTGTGTCTGCAACTTAACAACCCGTTCCGCTTGTTTCTTTGCCCGCCATGTCTGTCACTCTCCACCGTGCCCATGCATGTGTGCGTGGCATGGCAGATCTGCACAAGCTGGGCGGGCTGTTGCCGTTGGGGGCGCTGGTGGAGCATGGGAGCAGCGAGGTGCGCAGCATGGCGGCACTCGTGGTGGGCAAGGCGGCGCAGAACAACCGCCAAGTGCAGCGCCAGGTGTGCTGCCCTGCATTCCCCTCCCACCCCTCCGTTACACCCTCCTTGCCCGTGCTCCTTCGACGTGTACACTCATCCCTTTTGTCCCATTTCCGCACCCCCCCAACCCCAACCCGTTCTTCCCACCATCATCCGTGCACCAGGTGTTGGAGACGGGTGTGCTGCAAGCGCTCTTCATGCGCCTGCACTCGCAGCACCCAACCCCGCCAGTGGGCGACGAGGAGCACGCCAGGCTGCTCTTCGCCCTCTCTGCTGCCATCCGCGGCCACGTGGCAGCCACCCATTGGTTCTACCGCCACAGTGGTGTGGCCCTGCTGGCCCGCCTGCTGTCCGTGCCATCCCCCCGCACGCAGCGCAGGGCGCTCTTCCTGCTCGCTGACCTCGCTGACAGTGTGGGCGCGCGGGCAGGGGGCGAGGGGCAGGAGGGCGAGAAGGAGGGGTTGAGCATGGCGGTAGGGTTGAAGGGTGAGGGGGAGGCTAATAGGGTAGAGGAGCAAGAAGGGGAGGAGGGGCAAGAAGGGGAGGAGGGGCAAGAAGGGGAGGAGGATCAAGAAGGGGAGGAGGAGCAAGAAGGGGAGGAGGAGCAAGAAGGGGTGGAGGAGCAAGGAAGAAAGCAGTGGTTGGCAGATGAGGCGCTGATGAGGGCAGTGGTGGCGCTGCTAGGGGGGGATGAGGGGGCGAGCGGGGAGCGGCTGGGGGCAGTGAGGAGGCGCAGTGAGGACGGCAGCAGCACGTGGGACCTGGACATGCTGGATAAGGTGGGTGGGTGGTGGGGTGAAGGGGATGCAGGATGCATGCACATGGTGCTTGCATGCTGGATAAGGTGCGGGTGGTGGGGTGAGGGGGATGCAGGGTGCATGCATCAAGGGTACGCACATGGGCCATGATTTGTCATGCACATTTTGCTGTCCGCTCATGCATGTCTGCTTGCTTCCATGTCCACTCATTCATTGTTCTGTGCACCTGCTCTCTACACTACCTCTCGTCCGTCCCCACCCACCCACCCCCTCCGTGTGCAGGCAGCAGCAGCGCTGCACAGCCTGCAGGGCGCCTCACCCGCCACGCGCCGAGTGCTGCTCGCATGCTGCCACCCCGCGCTGGCAGTGGAGCGCGTGAGGGTAGCGCTGCAGGCGCACGTGGGGGAGGTGCAGCGGGGGGGAGACGAGGCAGAGTATGAGCAGGAGGTGGCGGGGCGCCTGGCGTCGCTGCTGCTCGCCCTGCACGCACCTGGGGGAGGGGTGGATGCTCGCCCCCACTAGCAGTGTCGGTGCTGACGGGAATGATTTCCGAGTTGTCTTGTTCATGTGTTGGTGCTCTATGGCATTGCCAGTGCCACGAATGGGAAATGTGCTGGCAGGAGTTACTATTTTTGCCAATAGTGATGGGTCCCAAAACGACACAAGCCAGTTGAAAAGGAAGCACATTCATGGCATTCGGTAACAGTGCCAAAATACTAGAGCTGGCAAACTTGTGCTGAGATGCTACTCAGGCCACTTATACGGCACAATAGGAATGTAGGTATGTACTTTCTTTTGACACACCCTCTAGGCTAGGTAAGGGGCAGTGCCAAGAAGAGGAGGAAACAGCTAGTGCAACCAACCATACGAAATAGAGTAGGTGGCTAGGATACTTATGTTAACAGCAATCGCACTACTCCCCATCTCACATTCTCCCCATCTCCCTGGTAAGTGTGTCAAAGTCACTCGACCTCATCAAGTACTACTAGGTTAGCCTGTTGTCTTCATCCCTACCCTTGCCACCCATTCCTCCTGTCCCGTGCGACTTGCGAATCATCAGCTTCAACCCCCTCACCCCTCCATCACCAGCGCCACCACCAGGAACACCACCAGAACCACCCACACTAGCACCGCCAACACCAGCACTACCATCACCACCACCACCAGTCCCAGCAGAACTTTCAGAGGCACCGACAGCAGCTGCTTCTAGCTGCTGTCTGCCCTCTGCCTCGTGCCTGCCAGCCCTGACAGAGGCATCCGACGCCCTCCTGTTGGGCCCATCCTTGCCTGCCGTGCCCTCCCCATCTCCATCCTCACTGCCCTCCCTCTTCTCCTCCACATCACCCACGCTATCCCCCTTCCCGCCCACCTTCCCATCCTCTTTCCCTTCCTCACCTTCCCCAACACTCCTCCCTCCGCCACCCCTCCCCCTCCCACTATTGCCACCTGCAGCCCCCCCCTTGCCCGCCTCCCCTATAAGAACATCCAAGCCCGCCAAACCCCCTATACTGCCACCCCCATGCGTTTGCTTCTCTTCCTGAGAAGGCTTTAGAGGCGCTTCAAGACCCACACCCTCCGTGCTAACACCACTCCCATGCGCCTGGTTTACTTCTTTATCTTCCTTCCTTCTCTCTTTTGTTTCCCCTTCCTCCGAGCCCACTTTTTCATACCCATGCTTCTCCTTAACTTGCTCCTTCCCCTCACCATCCACCTCCTTTCCCGTGTCTCCCTTGTTATCCTTATACTCTTCCTCCGCTGCTTTCCTCTGCACCTCCCTTTGCCTTTTCCTCTGCCCCTCACTTTTTTGTGCTCCACCCTCCTTGGTCAACCTATCCACACCCTCACCCCTCCCCTCATCACCCCCCCTTGCATCACACCACTCACACCAATCTTTCCTCTCCTTGCCTCCTCCACCTCCTTTCCCTCCCTCCTCTGCCTTCCCTTGCCCCCATCCCTCCCCTCCTCCTCCTTCCCTCCCTTCCTCCTCCTCTTGCTGCGCGCCACCTCTTCATGGTAATCATCGCCCTCTCCTGCTTTCCCTCCATCGCCCTCTCCTGCTTCCCCTCCTCTCCTCTCTCCCAACTCCTCAGTCTTCTCTGCTGAATCTTGTTCCTTCATACTTCTCTCATCGTTCCTTTTCTCCTCCCTTGCCGAATCATCCTTTTCTTTATTTTTGGCCGTTTCTTTTGCTTCCTCATGTTCTCCCTTCCTCTTCCTCCTCTCCCTCCCCTCGCCCGCCCGTTCCCCCTCATGCGGCCCCTCCTGCTCCTCCACCCTCACACCTTCCCCTCTCTTCCTATTAAGCCTTATTCTCACTCGAATCCCCTCCCCCCCTCTTCCCTCACCCCCTTCCTCTCCCTCCCCCACCTTTTCCTCCTCCTCTCCTTTGCCACTCTTCCATCTCCTCCTCTTCCTCTCCCCTCCCTCCTCCAATTCCCCCACCTCCTCCTCCCCTACCACCTTCCTCCTCTTCCTCTTCCCTAAACCCTCTTCTCCTTCCCCTTTCTCCTTTCCAACAGACCCTGCAACATGCCCCAACCCCACCCTCCTTCCCTTTCTACCAACACTGTCACCACCACCCATTCCTCCTCCCCATTCCCTCCCATTCTCCTCTCCCTCACTCTCCGAAAACGGAGGAGGAGCCTTTTCCCTCTCCTCATCCTCCTCCTCCTCATCAATGCCCTCTTGCCCATCTCCTCGCCCCTCCCGGTCCGCATCCCCTTCCTCCTGCTTCTCCTTCGCATGAAGCGACGCCATGCCCCTCTTTCTCTGCCCCCTCTTCCGAGACCAACTGCTTCCCTCCACTTCCTCTGCTGCCCCCTCCCCGCCTGCCTTTGCTCCTCCCTTGCCTTGCTCCACGCGGCGTTTGAATCGAGACCAGAGCTCTTGAGTGGCCTCTGCTGCGGTTGCGACCTGCAAAAGGGAGGGAGAGAGACATTCCAAGCCACATGACAACTTGGAAAGTCCACACTCTTCCACCACAGCATCAGAGCTCTTGAATGGCGTAAGCTGCCGTTACGACCTGTGGTGAGGGAAAGAGAAAGACAATACCAATGTCACATGACAAAGAAGCCGCACTCTTTGCACCTTGTATCAATACCAGAGCCCCTGAGTGAATAATTGAGGCACCTATAAAATCGCCTGAATGACTCCTGCTGCCTCGCGACCTGTGATGAGGGGCAAAGAGACACAACAGCACAAGTTGACGTTTCAAGCCAGCAATTGATAGTGCAGAGGAGCAATACAAGGGCACAGCAATGCAAGCGACAGGGCACAGCAATGCAAGCGACAGGGCACAGCAATGCAAGCGACAGGGCACAGCAATGCAAGCGACAAGGCACAGCAATGCAAGTGACACGGCACAGCAATGCAAGTGACACGGCACAGCAATGCAAGTGACAATGGCAAAGCAAAGGAACTCACACTAGGAGCGTGGCCCAGGCAGGCAGGGCATGTGTAGGAGAGGTCTGAGTTGGTCTGATACTGCATGTACTGCTCATCGCTGCATGGAGGGCACACCAAAGAGTCAGAGAGAATGCATTGCGCGTCTCAATGTGCGAAAAAAAAAGGTGGGAAATAAGTGTGATCATTGCGCTCTAGATTAGTAGTCTCAGATGTCATGTTCGTTTCCTTGTGTAGTTTGATTATTCCCTGTAGAAAGCAGTCAAATGAGAAGGAAAGGTGAAACAATTGTGGAAAGCGAGGAATAAATCGGGATGGTCAAGAAGTGTTGGGAAAGTGCAACGCAGAAAGGAGTGAGAGAGAGAGAGAGAGAGAGAGAGAGAGTGTGACAGCGACGGAAAAAAAGGAGGGGGAAGGGAAGGAGAGATAGGGGGGTTGTTGGAAAGGAGAATAGGGAGGGGAGTGTAGGTGCAATAAAAATACTGTCACATGAAAAAAGGTATGTGTCCAGGTACAGAAATGGCACCTTTACCCACCTGATATTGTCACATGCGCAATGCACCCAGTGCTCGCATTTGTCACAACACACCATTGGCGTTGGCTCTGAGTCCCGATATACCTGTGGTGAGGAGGGTGGGACGCAAGTGTAGTGTCGATACATCAGAATCACATGCATACACACATGCATAAACACATGCACAAGCACATGCATGCGCACATCGCACATGCATACGCACATGCAGACGCACATGCAGACGCACATGCATACACACATGCAGACACGCATACATACGCACATGCAGACACAGATACACACGCACATGCAGACACGCATGCATATTCGCATGCATACACACATGCATACACACATTCATATACACATGCGCCCAGTCACAGTAGGAATGAGAGCCTGGAAACACCTGATGACAATCAAATGCACAAAGAGGCATTTGTTTCAGTCAGTCTCGCCCCAGCCGCACCCACCCCAACTGCACCCATCCCAGCCGCACTCACCAGTACTTACCTACCCACCAGCAGCACCTACCCACCAGCAGCACCTACCCACCAGCAGCACCTACCCACCAGCAGCACCTACCCACCAGCAGCACCTACCCACCAGCAGCACCTACCCACCAGCAGCACCTACCCACCAGCAGCACCTACCCACCAGCAGCACCTACCCACCAGCAGCACCTACCCACCAGCAGCACCTACCCACCAGCAGCACCTACCCACCAGCAGCACCTACCCACCAGCAGCACCTACCCACCAGCAGCACCTACCCACCAGCAGCACCTACCCACCAGCAGCACCTACCCACCAGCAGCACCTACCCACCAGCAGCACCTACCCACCAGCAGCACCTACCCACCAGCAGCACCTACCCACCAGCAGCACCTACCCACCAGCAGCACCTACCCACCAGCAGCACCTACCCACCAGCAGCACCTACCCACCAGCAGCACCTACCCACCAGCAGCACCTACCCACCAGCAGCACCTACCCACCAGCAGCACCTACCCACCAGCAGCACCTACCCACCAGCAGCACCTACCCACCAGCAGCACCTACCCACCAGCAGCACCTACCCACCAGCAGCACCTACCCACCAGCAGCACCTACCCACCAGCAGCACCTACCCACCAGCAGCACCTACCCACCAGCAGCACCTACCCACCAGCAGCACCTACCCACCAGCAGCACCTACCCACCAGCAGCACCTACCCACCAGCAGCACCTACCCACCAGCAGCACCTACCCACCAGCAGCACCTACCCACCAGCAGCACCTACCCACCAGCAGCACCTACCCACCAGCAGCACCTACCCACCAGCAGCACCTACCCACCAGCAGCACCTACCCACCAGCAGCACCTACCCACCAGCAGCACCTACCCACCAGCAGCACCTACCCACCAGCAGCACCTACCCACCAGCAGCACCTACCCACCAGCAGCACCTACCCACCAGCAGCACCTACCCACCAGCAGCACCTACCCACCAGCAGCACCTACCCACCAGCAGCACCTACCCACCAGCAGCACCTACCCACCAGCAGCACCTACCCACCAGCAGCACCTACCCACCAGCAGCACCTACCCACCAGCAGCACCTACCCACCAGCAGCACCTACCCACCAGCAGCACCTACCCACCAGCAGCACCTACCCACCAGCAGCACCTACCCACCAGCAGCACCTACCCACCAGCAGCACCTACCCACCAGCAGCACCTACCCACCAGCAGCACCTACCCACCAGCAGCACCTACCCACCAGCAGCACCTACCCACCAGCAGCACCTACCCACCAGCAGCACCTACCCACCAGCAGCACCTACCCACCAGCAGCACCTACCCACCAGCAGCACCTACCCACCAGCAGCACCTACCCACCAGCAGCACCTACCCACCAGCAGCACCTACCCACCAGCAGCACCTACCCACCAGCAGCACCTACCCACCAGCAGCACCTACCCACCAGCAGCACCTACCCACCAGCAGCACCTACCCACCAGCAGCACCTACCCACCAGCAGCACCTACCCACCAGCAGCACCTACCCACCAGCAGCACCTACCCACCAGCAGCACCTACCCACCAGCAGCACCTACCCACCAGCAGCACCTACCCACCAGCAGCACCTACCCACCAGCAGCACCTACCCACCAGCAGCACCTACCCACCAGCAGCACCTACCCACCAGCAGCACCTACCCACCAGCAGCACCTACCCACCAGCAGCACCTACCCACCAGCAGCACCTACCCACCAGCAGCACCTACCCACCAGCAGCACCTACCCACCAGCAGCACCTACCCACCAGCAGCACCTACCCACCAGCAGCACCTACCCACCAGCAGCACCTACCCACCAGCAGCACCTACCCACCAGCAGCACCTACCCACCAGCAGCACCTACCCACCAGCAGCACCTACCCACCAGCAGCACCTACCCACCAGCAGCACCTACCCACCAGCAGCACCTACCCACCAGCAGCACCTACCCACCAGCAGCACCTACCCACCAGCAGCACCTACCCACCAGCAGCACCTACCCACCAGCAGCACCTACCCACCAGCAGCACCTACCCACCAGCAGCACCTACCCACCAGCAGCACCTACCCACCAGCAGCACCTACCCACCAGCAGCACCTACCCACCAGCAGCACCTACCCACCAGCAGCACCTACCCACCAGCAGCACCTACCCACCAGCAGCACCTACCCACCAGCAGCACCTACCCACCAGCAGCACCTACCCACCAGCAGCACCTACCCACCAGCAGCACCTACCCACCAGCAGCACCTACCCACCAGCAGCACCTACCCACCAGCAGCACCTACCCACCAGCAGCACCTACCCACCAGCAGCACCTACCCACCAGCAGCACCTACCCACCAGCAGCACCTACCCACCAGCAGCACCTACCCACCAGCAGCACCTACCCACCAGCAGCACCTACCCACCAGCAGCACCTACCCACCAGCAGCACCTACCCACCAGCAGCACCTACCCACCAGCAGCACCTACCCACCAGCAGCACCTACCCACCAGCAGCACCTACCCACCAGCAGCACCTACCCACCAGCAGCACCTACCCACCAGCAGCACCTACCCACCAGCAGCACCTACCCACCAGCAGCACCTACCCACCAGCAGCACCTACCCACCAGCAGCACCTACCCACCAGCAGCACCTACCCACCAGCAGCACCTACCCACCAGCAGCACCTACCCACCAGCAGCACCTACCCACCAGCAGCACCTACCCACCAGCAGCACCTACCCACCAGCAGCACCTACCCACCAGCAGCACCTACCCACCAGCAGCACCTACCCACCAGCAGCACCTACCCACCAGCAGCACCTACCCACCAGCAGCACCTACCCACCAGCAGGACCTACCCACCAGCAGCACCTACCCACCAGCAGCACCTACCCACCAGCAGCACCTACCCACCAGCAGCACCTACCCACCAGCAGCACCTACCCACCAGCAGCACCTACCCACCAGCAGCACCTACCCACCAGCAGCACCTACCCACCAGCAGCACCTACCCACCAGCAGCACCTACCCACCAGCAGCACCTACCCACCAGCAGCACCTACCCACCAGCAGCACCTACCCACCAGCAGCACCTACCCACCAGCAGCACCTACCCACCAGCAGCACCTACCCACCAGCAGCACCTACCCACCAGCAGCACCTACCCACCAGCAGCACCTACCCACCAGCAGCACCTACCCACCAGCAGCACCTACCCACCAGCAGCACCTACCCACCAGCAGCACCTACCCACCAGCAGCACCTACCCACCAGCAGCACCTACCCACCAGCAGCACCTACCCACCAGCAGCACCTACCCACCAGCAGCACCTACCCACCAGCAGCACCTACCCACCAGCAGCACCTACCCACCAGCAGCACCTACCCACCAGCAGCACCTACCCACCAGCAGGACCTACCCACCAGCAGCACCTACCCACCAGCAGCACCTACCCACCAGCAGCACCCACCCCAGTTGCACCCACCCCAGTTGCACCCACCCCAGCTGCACTTGCCTCCCCCAGGTGCACGTACCCTGAGGCAGACGGGGCAGTGCTTCTTCTTGACGAAGAGGCGGCCACAGGCGTCACACAGCATGTAGTTGAAGAACCAGCTGCGCGCACGGGGGGGAGAGGAGGTGCAAGGAGGGAAAAAGAGGGAAGGGGAGGGGACGGGGGAAAAGTGGAGCAAGGCCTTACACAGCATGTAGTTGAAAAAACAACTGCACGAGTGCGGAAGGGGAAGAGGGTGGGGGGATGGGGAGACGAGGAGGGGAGAGAGGAGGGGAGTGCGAGAAGCGTGAGAGAGCATGTAGTTGAGGAACTGGCTGGGGGGTGGGGCGAGAGGTAAGCCTGGGGGGGCAAGGCAAGAGGAGGAGGAAGGGGGGAGACAAGCGGCACAAAGCAAGTGGTTGAACAACAAGCTAGGGAGAGAGGAAGAGGTAAGAGGAAGGGATGGATGGCGAGATAGGGGATGGCGAGATAGGGGATGGTGAGATAGGGGATGGCGAGATAGGGGATGGTGAGATAGGGGATGGTGAGATAGGGGATGGTGGAAGAACCAGAGAGGGGAACGCGGAGAGACTGGGAGAAACGAGGGGAAGGAGAGCGGAGGGAGGGGAAGTGGGGGAAAGGCGACAGGGTGTGGGAACAGAGGGCAGACGATCACGCACCTTTGCCTCCCACCATCCTCACCTGCACCCAGGTATTTTCTCGTCTCTCTCCCACACTCCCAACCCCCCCCCAACACATCTTACCACTCCCTGTTATCCTCATCCCCTGTTGCCTCCAGCCCTTCTCCCCACTCCCTGTGATCCCCACTCCCTGTGATCCCCACTCCCTGTGATCCCCACTCCCTGTGATCCCCTGGTCTCACCGCGAGGACGTGCCACTGCCAGGCACTTTGGAGCCGCAGCTGTGGCACTGCGTGTGGCTCGGACACAGGAAGGGACCCTTGAACGGTGACTGGTGGGGCGCACAGGGGTGCAGAAGGTGCAAATCAGAGGGATGGAGAGAGGTGCAGATGGGTGAAGAGGCACGTAGAGGGGTGGAGAGGGGAGCAGAGAGACGAAGAAGTGGGTAGATGGTGCAGAGGAGTGCAGAGAGGTGCAGAGAATATTGTGAGGGACAGCAGCATGGTGTTTGGGCTGCATGAAGCACAGCAGCTCACACACACCAACACACTTCCTCAATCACACACTCACGCCCCCGCTCTCTCACTCACTCACCCACTCGCACTCATTCAAGCACAGGCACATGCGCTCACCTTGGTGTGCAGCTGCGTGCACGCCACATGGTAGCCCCTGTCACAGCGGTAGCAGCACACGATGGACGATGGCTCCCCGTACCGGTGGCAGGCCTACTCGGGGTTTAGGGGCAGGCAACACGAAGCGTGGAGGAAGAAAGGTGTGAGATGGTGGCGTGGCGAGGGGTGAGTTGGTGGTGAGGGGTGAGTTGGTGGTGAGGTGGTTCAGAGCAGCACAGGATTGACGACCGTAGAGGTGGCAGGAATGACAGAAAATAGCACAGTTCAGGGTTTCACGGTTTAGGGGCAGGCAAAGCAGAGGGGCGGCAAGCAGATTGAAACATGATAGCAGCGGAGGATGGATCAGAATTCCCAGCAAGCAGAGAGAGACGGAGCAAGGGCACAAGAGGGAAAGGATGACGATTTGGTTGAGTTGACTCAAAAGGCGAGCGCCTGTGAGGACTGCTGGGGCCCTGGGGGCATCATGTGAGGACTGCTGGGGCCCTGGGGGCGTCATGTGAGGACTGCTGGGGCCCTAGGGGCACGTGACAAGATAGCCCATGGCATCATATCGCGCCCCCCCACCCCACCTCACCCCCCCTCCATGTCCCACCCACCCCTCATGCCCCACACCCATGCTGCATCCCCCATGCGGCAGCTGACCTCACAGCGAATGCACCCCGGGCACACCCAGTCCCGCCAGTCCAGCTTGCCTGCGCGCAGCAAGGCAGTGGGGAGAGGGCATTGGGGGGGGGATGTGAGGGGGGGCACATGGGGGAAGGGGGGGGGAAGGGCACGGGGGGAAGGGCCTGGGAGGAAATGTGGAGCAACCAAGGGGGTGGGGGGTGTGGGGCAACGGGAGGGGGGATGGGGGTCAATGGGTGGAAGGAGGGGCAAGGGAGGCGAATTGAAGAAGAGGAACAAGGGAAAGCAGCAGCACAAACCATGCACAGTGACGCGCACCCCACCCCACCCAAAACGCACCCCACCCACAGCACACGGACGTAGTACCTCTGTTGTGAGCCGTGGCCAAGAGGCAGTGGCAGTGAAAGCTGCGGCGGCACTGGGGGCACGGCAGCAAGCGAGTGGCGAGCAGCATAGGGCATGACATGACAGCTGCACGCAATGCATACCACCACTAGCCGCACCCAGCAGCAGGCACACAGCACGCACACAGCAGGCACACAGCACGCACACAGCAGGCACACAGCAGGCACACAGCACGCACACAGCAGGCACACAGCAGGCACACAGCACGCACACACACACACACAGCCGGCACACAGCAGGCACACAGCACGCACACAGCACGCACACAGCACACACACAGCCGGCACACAGCAGGCACACAGCACGCACACAGCACGCACACAGCACACACAGCACGCACACAGCACGCACACAGCACGCACACAGCACGCACAAAGCACGCACAGCACGCACACAGCACGCACCCAGCAGGCACACAGCACGCACCCAGCACACACACAGCACGCACACAGCACGCACACAGCACGCACACAGCACGCACACAGCACGCACACAGCACGCACACAGCACACATACAGCACACACGCACGCACGCACACACGCACGCACGCACGCACGCACACACGCACGCACGCACGCACGCACACACGCACGCACGCACGCACACACACACACACACACACACACGCACACACATCACGCACACAGCACGCACACCAGCACACATCAGCACACAGCACGCACACAGCACACTCACAGCAGCACACACACAGCACACACACAGCACGCACACAGCACGCACACAGCACGCATACAGCACACACACAGCACGCACACAGCACGCACACAGCACCAGCACAAGCACGCATACATCACGCACACAGCACGCACACAGCAGGCACACAGCACTCACACAGACTACCTCTGTTGTCGGCCATTCCCAGCAGGCAGTGGCGGTGGAAGCTGCGACCACACTGGGCACGGCACCAGGCGAGCAGCCCTCGCACTGCCCTGCCGCTCCTCTCCGCCGCACAGCCCGCACCACACACTCCCCTCCCCGCCCTCACTCGCCTCCCTCCCCTTCCTCGCCCTTCTCCCTCTCCCCCTCTCTCCTTCTCCTCTCTTGCAATCCCTGCTCCCCTTTCCGTATCCCCCCTCTCTCCCCCTCCCTGCTCATATCTGCCTGCCTGCCTCATCACCACCCACCAGCGTCATCCCCTCCTCTCCAGCCTTGTCGGGCACGCGCCGCTCTCGCTCTTGCTGGCATCCTGTCTGCCCCCTCTCCTTCTCTGGCGCTCCTCCTCGTCCTCCTTATCCTCCTCCTCCCTTGCCTCCTCATCGCGACCATCCCCGCGTCTCTTCCTTCCTTTCATCCCTTTTCCCCTCCTCACAACACCATCGTCTCTTCCCCTCTTCTCTCTCCCCCTCTCCTCATAACGCTTTCTCACTCCTCCCTTCTCTTCCTTCACCTGCACTTCCAGATCGGCACCCCTCCCTCCCTCTCTCTCCTTTCCCTCCTCGCCACCTCCTCACCACTCCTCTTCCTCTCCCTGCCCACATGTCGCCTCCCTCCATCCGACTCTCCCTCGCCATCTCACCCGTCTCCCCCTTAGGGTTCTCTCCTCCTACTCCCTCTCCCGCCCACCGCTGCACCCACGCCCCGTCTTCCCTCGCGCCTCCCTCGTCGCCTTCATCCATATGCCTCTCTGCCACAGAAGTATGCTTTCCATCCGTCTCCTCCCCCTCTCCCGCTCTCTCCTCTCTCCCCCCTCTTCCCCACCAACTCACCTCTCTCCTTTTCACGTTTCTTGCTCCTCCTCCCCTCCCTATGACGTTCCCTCTCTCTCTCACTAACCTCATCCTCATCCCCCTTCCCCCCCTCCCCACCCTCTCTCCCCCTGGCGTCTCTGCCCCTGCACTCTCTCCCCTCCTTACCAGTCTCCCCGGCCTCTGCCTCCCCAGAGTCTTTTCCTCCACCCATCACGTCTTCTCCACCCTTCACTTCTCCTCCGCCCTTCACTTCTCCTCCACCCTTCACTTCTCCTCCGCCCTTCACTTCTCCTTCCCTCCACCCTTCACTTCTCCAACCTTCTTAGTATGCTTCTTTTCCCTCTCCTTCTCTCCTTCCATATCACCCCCCCTTCCAACCGCTTCTCGCCGCTCTCCAGCAGCCAGAAGCGCCTTGTCCTTGCGTGCTGTTGTCAGCGTCTCATCAGGTGCCGCCTTCCCAGCATCAACCCCTCCACACGCCACAGCAACACCCTCAGCACCAGCAGCAGCAGCAGCACCAGCACCAGCAGCATCAGTGTTACTGTTGGTCCCTGCTGCAGCAGCAGCAGCAGCAGCAGCGGCGGCAGCGGCGATAGCAGCGGCAGCAGCCTTGGACCCACCAACAGGTCTTCCCCTCTTTGCCGGTACAGCTTTTAATAGCCCCTTTTTTTCTCCCTCCGCCCGCCTCCTTCCCTTCTCATTCTCCCCCCCCTCTTTCTCGCTCTTTCCTCCTCTCTCTTCCTCTCCCCTCTCCTCTTCCCCCTCCTCTCTCCTCAGACCCTTCACCTTCTCCTCTCTCTCCCGTTTATTTGCTTCTTTCCGCCTTTCCCTCTGCCAACCCTCCTTCCCCTCCCTCCCCTCGCTCTTCCCTCTCGCCTCGCTTCCCACTCTCGCCTCCTTCCGCTCCCATTCTTTGCTTCTTCTTCCTCCTTTCTCTCTCTCTCCCCTTCCTTTTCTTTCTTTTCTCCCTCCTTCCTCTCCCCTCCAGCCTCTTCCCCTCCTGCCTCCCCTCCCGTCCGTCTTATCACAGCTTCACTATCCTTCCCCTTCTCACCATCCTTTCCCTTCTCACCATCCTTCCCCTTCTCACCATCCTTCCCCTTCTCACCATCCTTTCCCTTCTCGCCATCCTTTCCCTTCTCTTCATCCTTTCCCTTCTCGCCACGCCCCCCATCACTCACACCTGCTACCTTCTTCCCTTCATGAAGCTTCACTTTCACTCTAACGCTTTATCTTCACCTTCACTCCAACCTTCCCTTCCGGCCCACCCACACCACCCCGCCTCCCCCATCCTCCTCCCCACCAACACCACCGTCTCCATCGCCTCCATGCTTGCCGCTCGCTGCCATTGCACGTGTGGGTTCCCCTTCCCCATGCGCTGACTTGTGGCCTGAACGGACAGTAACACCGCCACCACCAGCAGCACCAGCGGCACCAGCAGCACCACTGGCACCATCACCAGTATCACCAGCACCAGCAGTACCAGCCGCAGCGCTAGCAGCAGCTGTGGCGTCAGTACCAGCAGCAGCAGCAGAAGCAACACCGGAACTTTTGCCACAGCAGCAGCAGCATCCCTTTTCTTGCGTGAGATTATGATAACTCTCTTTGGCTTTCGCGGCACCGTTTCAGTCTCTACAGGCACTGAAGTCGATCCACTCTGCACTGCAGATGACTCATTCCGCACTGCAGCTGATTCTGCTTGCACACCGCAGGCCCTTCAGGTGGTTTTTCAGGTGAAACCAACACGAGAACCTTCCGCTGAGCGCCGCTTTAATCTTGATCGTGCGCCTCCTCTCCTTCACCGATTCAGGCGCAGCCCCAGCAGCAGCGGTATCAGCAGCAGCACTGGCAGCCGCACCAGCTGAAGGGCGGCCAGCACCGTCACGTTCCAAGCCTGCTGCTGCAACAGCTGCACTGGCAGATGGGCCAGGGGAAGGTGCTATGGGCACAGCTGTAGCGGCGGCTGTAGCACGCTTGGCGGACGTGGAAGGCAAGGGGTGCGGCAGGTGCGAGGTGGGATGCTGCTTGAGCGGCTTTGGAGGAAGGCGAGAGCACGGCTCTGAATCAGATGAACCAGCCGCATGGGCACTCGCAGCACGAGCAGCACCAGCTGCACCAGCAGCGGCACCGGCAGCAGCAGCGGCCCCCGAAGGATCACGCGCAGAACCGACAGTCTTCCCTGCAGCTTTAGCTGCTGCGCATCAGCAGCAGCAACAGCCGCAGCAGCAGCAGCGAGAAACGGAGGCAAGGGTCAGAGCTATTGGCAGCAGCAGCAAGAGCAGCAACAACAACAGCAGGCAGCGGCGGCGGGGCAGCCCGGCAGCAAGAGCAGCAGCTGTGGCCGCTGCATGCGCCCTCGCTGCCTTTGCTGCCGCCCCTGCTTTACCCTTCTTGCTCGCCGCGAGAGCCTTGGCCCGAGCCGACATCTTAGGCTTGGGAGGACGCCTGGGGCCCGGGATTCTAGGCTTGGGAATGGCCTCCCTTCTGCTGCTACTGCAGGGTTGAGGAGTCCGTGTGGGTAATCCAGCCCCTAGCATCACGGGAGTGTGCATAAAAAAAGACAGGAGAGCGGGTGATTAAGACTTTTCAAATCAACCTCAGCAGAATCCAGCTCTTAGAATCATGGGAGTATAGTTTTATAATCGATCATAAAACTCTCTGTTCATACATACGTGGTGGTCCAGAGCCTAGAGGGTGAGGTTACACGTGTGGGTGCATGAGAAAGGGCAAGGCAGCACGTTGAGGACCCCAGGGTCAGAAGGCGTTGGATGAAGCGACAATGACAAGTGGCCATGGGCAGCAGAACAGAGCGAATACGGAATCATGGGAACTTGAGAGGAGCTGGGGAGAGGGAGGGAGAGGGGGAGTGTTTAGCAGGGAGGGCGACAGGGAGAGATGGGAGAAAGGTGGGGCTGCAGTGGAAAGGGTTGGTAAAGGATGGAGGAAACACGCACGCAGTGAGTGTCACACGCACACACCTGGCCGCCAAAGGCAGAGTGCCCCCACACTGCCTCCCCCCCACTGCCCCACTCGCCGAGCCAGGCGTGTAACCAGCTGCATGGTAACCAGCGGCAGGAGCTTGTGCGGTTGCAGGAATGGTTGATCGATCACCCCGCCGTCTGCATGGAGGACAGGCAGTAAATGAGGGGAGATGTTGGGATGAGGGGAGAGGCGGGGATAAGACGAGAGGTGGGGTCGAGGGGAGAGGTGGGGATGAGGGGAGAGGCGGGGATGAGGGGAGAGGTGGGGATGAGGGAGAGGCGGGGATGAGGGGAGAGGTGGGGATGAGGGAGTGGGGATGAGGGGAGAGGCGGGATGAGGGAGAGGTGGGGATGAGGGAGAGGGGGGAATGGGGGAGAGGTGGGGATGAGGGGAGAGGTGAGGACGAGGGATAGGCGCGGAAGAAGAGCCTAGAAGAGGAGCAATGGGAGGGAGTAGGAAGAAGGCAGCCAATCGCACTTCACTGTTCTTCACTGTTTCTCATTGTTAGCCACATTCTTTCGCATCCGACGCACGGTCTTGAGAGTCTCACCGTCCCCAGTCATCCTCGCTCTCACCGTCCCAGTCATCCTCGCTCTCACCGTCCCAGTCATCCTCGCTCTCAAACGGCGGAACGTCGATCTCCACCATTCCATCGTACAGTAACCCGCTCGTTACAAAGCATCATCCGTTACAACATCGTTCGCCACAGCAGCGTCCGTTACGGCAGCAGCATCATCATCTTCCGCATCCCCTTCCGCCGTCCTCCTCTCTCCCCCCGTCCTCGTCCCCGCCGCCACCCCGAGCTTCCCCCGCTCCCACGACCACGCCAACACAGCCGTCTGCGCGTCCACGTGGCAGGCAGCCAGTGGGTCCGACGGACCCGAGAGAGCACCGACATATGGGCCTCCTGCGGCGGGAGTTAGGAATTGGTCCACAGGGAAGCGGGAGCGGGCGCTTTAGAAACGGGAGTCGTGGCGCGCGGAAAGTATATCAGAATAACCCATAAGGGTCGTGGGAGTTGCAGGGTGATACGTCAAGGTTCAAAACAGTATTCTGTCGCATTCTATCAATGCCGATAAGAAGTAGAGGAGAAAATAGGTTTACACACACGAAAACCTAGATGACTAAGCGACAGGAGTACTGAAGACACGATAACGACTAGCCATAATAACGAGTCATGACAGGAAGTAACTGATTCAATTCCTTGGTAATAGGGTCGGATGGTGCTTGGCGTCATAACGACAGGCGCTTACAGCGTGAGCGGACAGCCAACGTGGAAAGTGGCCATATAAGGTGTTAGAAGTGGTTCGCCGCTGCAACGACACTAAACGTGAAAATGTCGAAACATTACACCATGGACGATTACGTGGGAGAGAAATAGACTGAAACGGTGGGAGGAGGTAGCAAAGAGATCGTAAAAAGCAGCAAGGGAGAAATTAGGGTTTGGCTTGAAGCGAGGGGAGACCCCACAGAATTCTGCAGGGCGTGTTCGGTGGAGTTCGAAAGAGTCGAATTTAGATTCAGTTTCCGTTCGGCTTTTGGTTTCCAATGTCGGTGTCAGATACGGCATCTGGTTTCGCGAAAAAAGGCGCGTTACGCGAGTTTCGCATATAATTTCTAGGTCGCGGTCCTGGGGGGTCCTGGGGTGTCCTGGGACATGATGACCTGGAAAGTCACCGTGTTGATGTAGGCTAACGCATGCCATTCGTCGCTGGGGCTGACCTGGCCCACTGTGCAACTGTACTCGTGTACCAATGAAACGCGTGCGCGGTGGAGCATCTGCGACCACCTGGGTGTGAAAGAAATACCAGGGCGCACCCCAGAAAATACAACATCCGACTCGACAACGTTCGGCCGTTGGGGAATTTTGGAAAAAAAAAAAAAAAACACACAAACATTTATGAACCCCACGCGCTTCCATGATTCCCTCCCAACACACTCGACTCGAGGGGATTTTGTTTGTTTTTGTTTTTTTTTTTTTGGTGCGCCAAACAATTTTTACAACCCCGTGGTTCACACGATTCCCTAAAAACAACCCCCTCGGCTGCACGTTGCCCCGACTACACTACGGATGTTGGGTCGTGAAAAAAATGTCGCAGTACTGTACAGTGGCAGCCCTGCGACGTGTTGTGTGGGCGTTCGTGTTGCAAGCACGTGGTCCCAGCGTGTGAGGTGTCCGGAGTTGAGGTGTCCTGGACACCCCAGGACCGCGATCTAATTTCGGATCCCTTAAATATCATCGAACGATTTGCTCATTGTTTTTCAGCTTTCCATAGTGAAACTTTGGCTGCGTTCTGCGGGCATCTCCCTTCGGAGGGAGGTGGGGGGGCGAAGGGAAATGATGATGGTTCCTACGCAGTTTCCCCATTGAATCCCTCCCCCCCCCCCGCTACAACCGAATGTTGGAAATTTCCGGTTTCGGGTGCGAAGCTGCTGAAGGTAAATGCCGAAAATACAGCTACAATTTCCTACGCACAAAAGTTGGGTAGAGAGAACTGGGCAAACTCATAAAAAGAGTTGAAGTTTGTCACAGGGCTACCACGTAGAGAAAAAAAACGCACCCAAGCACTCCCTCCAGCAAACCCAGTTTGAGGAGGTTGATGGCTTCTGTTTTTTTTACCTAGGTTGACGCGTCCCTGTTTGGGCTACTTAAGGAGGGGGCTGTTTGCTTTCTAGGGTTCAACCGTGGTGTTCCCTAACCCAGCGCCTCCCTCCCCCCTCCGTCCCACAACCAGGGCAAGAGCAGTTTTCGAAAGGGGGGAAGAAGGGGGCAAATTTTGCCAGAGAAGGAAGCGGCGGTGGGGAAATAGGCAGCTTCCTACGCCCTCATACCCTCGAGGGTAAATGGCTGTTCAGTTGCCATTTACCTTCGGAGGGTAAATGGAGGCTCGGATCCATTTTCCGGGCTGACCGGGCGTTTGATCCAAAAAACGCAGTTGGGGGAAGGTTCCTATTTACCGCCTCCCCCCCCTCTGTCGTGCCTGCAGAACGCAGCCTTTCTGTCTGCAAATTTAGGGGTGTACCCTCTATCACGCATACCAGCTGCGCGAGGATGGATGTTGCATGGCAAGTCAACGATGCCCATCGCACATTGATTAGCGTTGTCGGAATATAAGACCCTCTTGGTTCATCTTGTTTCGAGTTGTGAAATGATGTTAAAGTAAGCTCTTAACTCAAGTCAAGGCTTAGGAACCTAGGGTCTAGCTAGGAGTGTCGTGAGTGAGCATGGAAAGAGAAAAGGGCAAAGAGCGCTTTTACTATGGAATCAAGGCTGACGTTTCATATTAGGCCCCCCTGATTCCGGGGAAAAATTTTCCCCTCGATTATGAGTGCACATTTTTCAGAATGATGCTACCCTGATCGCTCAAGGTTGACAAGTATATAACTCTGATTGTTCAGGGTCGAAAATCGAAGTTCACTGTAGTAACGCGCTGTTCAATACAGGGGAAAAGGTATTGCTCTCCGTAAAGTGCGCTCTGTGTTTCGCGCACACTTTGAGCGCGCTAATTTCCAGCCGTTTAGTGTTACAAAATTGTATTTATCCATACGTTTTAAGAGCGGGGAAGAGATGAGCGATTTTGGTCAACAAAACATTTCGATTCGACACCACAGATGTGCCAAATCTTAAACTCGCGGAGTGCCTAAATGTCGTCAACATCGCTGTACGAAACGCAAAAAAGTGCTGGTAACTTCACGCACACGCAATTACGACAGTACAACTTATTCGCAATTTGTGAAAGTAACGAACATCTAGTGTATTCGCTTGTCAGACATGCTGCTGTCCGTCGCTCACGCGCTGGCTGTACTGCTCCGAAGGGGATTATCGGAATGAAAGTTCCAAGAAACTTCCTACTGATAAGGTCAGATTCAGGCCCTGTTCGATAGGCTAGCCTTAACGCCCGCGGAATCCTCGAAGCTGTTTCGATGTAGGATTTTTTTACCCGGTCAGCCCGTAATTTGGTGTCACGGGGCTTTAAAACCCTCTGGAACCTGAAGGGTTAGGGTTAGCCTGTCGAACGCAACCCATTCAAGAAGCCTTAGCCCGCTCGGAAAGGTCGAGGGACTTTCCCCCTCGGGCAAAGGTTTAGCCCTCGCCTAGCCTAACCCTCGCCCCCCGAAAGTGGGGTTTGCCAAAGGGCTCGCCAAGTGTTTGCAGTGGTAGGGATACTTTCTCCTTGGACCAAATAGCCCGCAATTCTTGACTCCACCTAAAAAAAAAAGCCCAGAACTATCTTCTTGTGAAGCGAGCAATCTGTGGGGAGAGCCTTTTTATTTTTTTCTCAGCGTTGTTACCCATTACAGTGCTGCGGGCATTCAAAAGTTTTCTTTGCAGACCGCGATGACCCAGGTAGAAGGAGGCAAGCAACATCGCCCTCGGGGCCCCGCTCCTTCCGATTTCTAGGGGCGCAGCTTCCGATTGGTTTGTAGGGGAAGAAACTGCGCTGAACCCTCCTCCTAACCCTAGCCTAGCCTTCGCCTTTTGCAATAGGCTAGCCTATCGAACAGGGCCTCAGAGTCCACAGAACGCGTACTCTACATTGACAGAGTCAGTAAGAACACTACTCTGAGTCTAGATACAATATTTTAGAGTTCGCTAAAGCACTATTCTGAATGGATCAGTGTTCACAAGTCAGAAATTCTGAAATTGCAGGGACCACCAGGTGAAAAGCCTGTAATCACCCTGAAGTCAGGATAATTACCCTGATAAAATCAGCCCTGTATGGAATGTTTACAAGATATAGGAAAGATATAGCTACACTAGGATCTATTGTAGGCAGGTATATAAATGTATACAAATACCGCAATCTCTCGGCAAGAAGACCCCCCCCCCCCCCCCCCCCCCCCCCCCCCCCCCCCCCCCGCGTACAAGCCCCTGGGTCCTTTATCCGGACCAGGGGTCTTTTATTATGTCATTCCTATAGACGACCCGTCTTTTGACCCTATTAAATATAAGACCCCCCTCTTTTTGCAATACGCTATGATGACCATTGTTTAAACGGTGAACTGGTTAGCAAGTCACAAAAAAAAACCACCAGATTCACTTTGTCGAGCAAATCTGTGGTCAAGTCAGTCACAACGCCACATCGATCTCGCGTTTTTTCTGTCCGTCACTCAAGAAACATTGACGTACCGTAACTTTCATGATTGGGCATGTCAGAGCGTGTGGATGGGAATCAGCGAGAATGCGATTCGAGAATTCGAGAACAGAACTCCGCGTTGTGAAGGAATCCGAAAATCGGTACATTTTGTTTGAATTTCTTCAACACCGTAATACAAAATCCTTTTTTTTGTAATTATTAGATGTCCGGGGGTCTTATGCACTATGTGCCATCAAATAAGACCCCACAAGTCATTTTTAGAACATTTAGGATAAGACCCCCGGGTCTTCTAACCGGGAGATCACGGTAGCTGCCTGTCAAACTTGTGTGTATAAATATACATATATGTGTGAGAATTGAGAGGAATGATGGACTAGCAAGGTTGGGAGTACAAAGTACCAAACCCTAGAATATTGTACCCCCTAAGGCTAAACCCACTGTAGCCTACAGAACAGCAACACATATAATGTTTGACACATCCCCATAGGCAAAGTGGGGGAGAACAAGAGGTCACAAGACCAGTCAAGTAAAGTGAAGCAAAGCAAGCTCAGGGT